CTACGGGACGTTTCCCTTGAATGCCAAAGTGAAGTTTTGCTACTTCGTGTAAACCTTGGTTATCAATTCAGGTTACGTTGCAAAAGGCAACCTCAGGGCACACCTCTGTAGTAATTCTGGGAATGACAAGTGCCTAAGAATTCAAACTCTTCAATAGACTGTTATGGTGTGTGTGTTACTGGATTGTGTCTCAGTTGAGTTTCTCAGTCGGGCCTGTATTCTCTGCGCTTGGTGTGAGTTGGGGGTGACGTCCACCGCGTATGAGTGACTTCGTTCCGAAGTGGAAAGTCCAATCCGGGTTCCCTGCGCTAGCAGAAACTGGCGGAAGGGTTGTAAAAGCCAGAGTGGGAGTCACTACCTGCAGAGCCTCTGAATGTACTCTTGAGAGACTTTTCCCCCTGAAATCCTAAGCGGAGATCCTGACCGACCTCCGAGTTGTGCTTTTCCAGTTTCATGTGTGTGTGTGTGTGTTGAGTGACTTACGCTGCACTGTGCATCCTCCGAGTGAACTCCGAGTTGAGCATCCTCAGAGTGGCCTCCGAGTTGAGCACTTGCAGTATTTCTGGGAGTGACAGTCGCCTGAGAATTCAAACTCTCCAAAAGTCTGTTAAACGTGACACTTTGTACTCTGTGTGTTGCCTCTGTCCCTGTGGGTTCGACCTTTTTACCACCATACTGCAGTTTTAGCCTTTGGTGGGTTATTACAAGCAGATGCAGTAGACTTCTTGCTTCCTCACAATAGCTTTTTTTCTGGTCGGCTAACTTAAAGTCCGGTACTCAGAGGTTTTCACTCACAAGCTCTGCTGCTTCGAGCGCTGCGAGCTTGGAGGCTGTAAGATCATTTGCCACCTCTTCACTTACTGACCCTTGAAGGTTCAAATCGGTTAAATCAGGATCCCACTTTGAACCTTTTGAGACCTTGTTGTCCACTGCGCTTTTCAGAATCATTTGCAAAAATATGACCTCAAAACCTCTCTGTAAGTTGCGATTGCCCAAACTTCTAGCTTTCTTGATCTCTCCATCCTTTGAGCTAAAATTAGATTTTACATCAAAATCAGTTCGTTTGTGGGTCAGCTACATCTCTTTCTTTCCTTCACCATCATTAGAACGAGGCAAACCCTTCTCTTTCTCTTGAGCTCCATCATTGAGCCGTCTTTCAATACCTTCAGATTTTTCCCGAGAGAAGCATCCAGCTCTAAAGCTAGACAACGCTGAAAAATCTTCATTTGAATGCTAAACTCTTGATTTTTTTAAAAAAATGGTATTGATTTTTTAGGGAAGCTACAGTACCTTGCAGCCCTAGAAGTTTGTCACGGGATCAATTTTGGAAAGTCATTCATGTCAAAGGCAACTCTATCATTTGTACTTCCATCATTCTCTATAGGTACTCCTATCGAAAATAATTTTTTCTTGGAATCTATACTTTTGTAAGAGACAAATAATCTCAAATAATCACTCAAATAATCTAAAATTTCCATAGATAATTTTCTAAATATAGACGATATAGCTGAGTATAGTCATACCTAAATTAACTTACTTATAATTAATTGGATTTAGTTATACCTAAAATAATCATAATCTAAAACTATTTCACACATACCGTATAGATCTTATAGTACTGCCCATGAGGACGCTCTATCCATTAATGATACACTTCAATCTATTCTAGAACTAGCATCTACTTGGTTGATACCTCCATCCATTTTCGGAGCCACCGTCTTTGATTTAGTAGCAGCACTAGAGGCTGCTTATGCTTATGTTTCATTTGTCTCACCGCTACCATCTCCGTCATGGCATCTCCTTATGTTTCTTTTGCCTCATCACTCCCACCGTTGCCATGAATCCACTGTCAAGAGTGAATACATTCACAACTCGACTCTACAATCCCCAGACACATATGTAGCGACCAGTCCATATCATAACATAGCGGATCTACCAATCAATCGGTCCCATACTTTGTTCAAGACGTACTTCATCTTACGAGAAAGAGTATGTGAGTTACAGCGTCAAAATTATTGGAAATTCAATCCAATGTCATCATGATGAGCTTATAGATTACATGGGAGAATAAATCACCTTCGACAAGCAATAACGTTTCCCTAATGGCACGCGTCAATTATTGATGAGCTGAACTCTATCGACAAGAATCGTATCTGGACCTTGATCCAGATACCCCGACGAGCAAAGGCTTAAACATGCAAGTGGATGTTAAGGATTAAAGAGACCTAAAATGATTATGCGTCCCGCCTCCAGCCTCATCTTGTAGCCAGAGGCTTCCAACCTCAAAAGTCTCATCTACAAATTGGCTTCCAGATTTTGCAATACTTCAAGCGTAATTTTGACCACAGAATATTGTTCAAACGGGGATATCCACCGGAAATGCAGAAATACTCACATGCAACGTATCAGTATTATTAGTACACATTTCAAGTCTATTGATGACTACGCTTTTACACTAGCTAGAGGGGAAATATCGTGGTGTTCTAAGAAGCACTATTCTAAGTGCTAAGCTCTAAGTTTCATAGTGCTTCTTAGAACACCATATGGTCACATAGAACTTAGTGCTAAGCACTAAGAAACACACATCACCATGATCGTTTTGGAAAACTGGATCCTCAAATGGCACTCGAGGACCAATAATGGCTCAAAAAGCTTCTGTCTGGAGCTATAATACGTCATCTTAAGTGTTCTCGATGCCCTCCAATCTACAACTTGTAACTTGAATACATTCAAGCAATACATTACGATTATGATATTTGAGGCGAAAGCCCTTGTCCTGTTCAAGTCGTACACAGATGTGTAGTACAACAATATGCTAACACAAGTATTACCCGAACAGCTTCAGGAAGTTGTTCAAGTACAACTCAGCATCACAGTGATGGTGAGTGATGAGACACTTCGGCTGACACATACTTGGCCACCGATGGTGATAGAATCAATGCAGGATCTGAAAACTGATAAAGAAGACGGTGTCCGTGGCTGGGTCGGTATGTGAAAGCTGTGTGAAGTATGTCTTCGTTTGCGGAATGGCTTGTTCAGAAGACCGAAGAGAGACCACCGCCGAAAATCGATGCCACTTCATGCATTTGGTATCCCCAGAAGAATCTAAGAAAATGGACACATCCTAAAAGTATAGCTGCCTCGTTCCGAAGGCCATAAAAGACGCTGGCGTACATATCTTTCATGATCTTGCGCTCTCCCACACACATGAAGTACGACTCTACAAGCTCGAATCGAATCGAGATTCTTGTTTTTTCTGCGCACTCAGTCTTGCTTCTGCCACCTCACCGCCACGTGTCAGTACAAAGGCCAAGTTGTCCTCGACTCAGCTGCACAAAACTTGAGTCAAAATCTCTCTCTGCTACTCCAGAAGCATTTTATTTGTCACCACAACATTTCTCGAGCACTAATGTTCACCGTACTATGATAGAGATCCAGGGTGTTTCAATCTACTTCTGGTTACGATACTAAGATCGTCCTTGGGGATAGAGAATCTTACCTCCGGGTGCAAGCTTAGGCTGGATAGAATCATTCTGGATTCTATGGAAAAAAAATTCAAATGGACCTTGAATTCATGTGGACAGTGATTTTACAGTGATATAATAAGACCCAAGATATATATCATCATAGTTCTTATGTATACGATGTTCCAACCGATCTGTCCGAGAGCAGTCTGTGCTGCCAGTAATGTCTAGTCCTCACTTCTGGTTAAATTGTACCAATAGAGTCAGCTACTGCAAGTAGGTCATGACAAAAATTACGGTTATTTAGCACAATTTTTTCTCTAATTATAGAACAAGTCACATGTATAATCTGGCCTCATAAAATCCAAAATCCCTCATCATTGATGAGTTAAGTTGTGTGGGATGAAATCTGTTGGAATCTGATTTGTAGAAAGTTGCCCGATCTGCAGACAAGGAAAGTCCTAACATTCAAAAGAAAAGTTCTCCAGGTTTTGAACTGCAAATCATCGAAGACGTTCGATAACACAACAAATAAATGACAGACAATTCGTACGGACAATATGTAAAACTTGTTACAAATTATAGAAGAAAGAATTGAACAGAAAAGTTTCTGCATATCTGTCACTCCGACAATAGATTTTGCGTCAGATTGTACCTTGATCAAGTAATTCTCTCTTCTCAGTTCAAGATGTTAAGACAGCCAGCTTCGGTAAGCATCACAGACGAATTTTATAAAACGTCGAGTTTTTGCAAGAGATGTAGCGAGTCTCGTTTTACAGCAATCAAAACAGCAGTAACTGGTGTTGGAGGTGTCAAACGTTAGCGTCTGTCGCGGTGTAAATTGTTCACTATCGGAAATATAACGCAAGGCGAGCCTGACATGAGTCTGATAAGATGACAGTGGATTTTTAATCTTCAAACCTCGAGAATTGGAGATCCTTCGACACAGGTCAGCGTAATTGCCACAACAATCTGATCCACCAGCTACATGAGGACAGTGGGTGGAAAATGTGGCTCTGCCATTCAATAAGTATCAGTGTCAAATTGACACCATAAACCGACAGTTGAGTGTGAACACTACTACGCTCCTTGACCATTTCCTTCTCTAACTTATTCAATTCGCTGAAGTGATTTTAAGATTATTTTCCAAATCCTCGGTTATGTCTAAGCTGATTCTAAACCATTTGACTTTGAGTACCAGCATACTACACTTGGAACACGAGTATCAGCTGAGGCTATATATTGCCTTCCCAAAGTTGCTGTCGTGATGTCAAAGATGGAACAGTTATAAAAATCGTGAACTAGATGGAAGATTCGGAATCCATGTCCCTTCGTAATTCGTGAACGTAGCTGCGAATATAAGTGTATGGCATTGAGACCTTGACAGGAGTACCAGCTCCTCCACCTCCCGTAGTAGTTTGACGCCGTCAAACATCGGTTTCTACTCCTCACATACACAGAAAACGCCTTAGTTTGTGGCAGGTACGCTTTTGTAATTCTTTTAGCTATTGAATCGCAGCTCAGAGCCACTATAAAAGGTCGCATATTTTGTATGCAGCCCCATCATCTCAACAACGATCAGTCTGGGAATCAGAATACGACCCCAGCTAGCTGTCTGCTTCGAGAAATCCACAGCACGGTAAGTATGCTCCGAGTTCATAGTATGATCAGAGTCAGTTCAGCTTGCCAGTGCAAATTTTGCTGATCTCTTGGGAAGCTCATAGGATTTCTGTCGTTGGTGAAAGTGCATGAATTCCGTCGTCAGCTTAATCTCTTGACATGCATTTCCGGGTTGTCTGCTGCGCACGACCAGGCGCTCTCAGTTCAGTGCAAATCATGGATAGTATGACGAATTTGAGAGCAAGAATTCCATCTGTTCTGTTGGCTGCCTTGGTGCTGGTGTTGTCGAGGTTGCAGTCCACTGGAGCAGTGGACATTCTGTTCTGGTCGCAAGCGAATTGTCTTGCACAATCTGTGGGATGTTTCGGTCTCGCTGAGGGAGTCTGTTGCGGCTTACCCGCCGCTTCATGGCGACCTTCAGTGAGGGTCCAAAACTCGAACTCCTGTAAATCGACCACCTTATATACCGGTGGCTTCTGTACCACCCCATGGGGGAGATTTACCGGCAGCTTCTGCGTTTCTGGAGCCCAGTTTACTGGTGGTCGCTGGAACACCACTTGTCGGCGCCGTCAGCTTTTGGCTGATGTTTCTGATCACGAGCAGCAGGCATGCACCGACGGCTCTTCCGGTTGCAAAAATGTTATGGATCCAAACGCCGTAGTCTACAATTCTGGTGAAGGTAACTGGGTGCTCATCAAAGACAATGCAATGGGGCTCCACGAGCAGCTCACAAATGTACCGGATTCAGAAAAGGTGGCCTGGCTCACGGCGCAAGGAGCTACGTACACTTCCAAAACTGAGGAGAGGATGATCGTTGTGGCCAACTGACATGTTGCAACTTCATCGTTACGATGCTCCCTTGAAGATATTGCAGAGCAACTCCAGCAGTTCACCGAACCCTGCTGCGGAGTCGTCTTCGAGCACTAAACGTGTACTACTGTGTGTGGCTGCTCAGGCTGTTTATTCTGTATGTGGAAATAACCATGCACGTATCAGATGTACCGCCTTCTGATCAGGCCTGCATATCGTCAATAAAACCGTTGTGCATGCTCTTCCCAATGCATACATTGTACATTTACCGGACCGAGAATTGAGTTACTGATGGAAATGTCATTTGTTATTCCGCATATCCCTGCAAAGTAACTAACTTTGATGATTTCAGATGATTTACATACTCAAGGCAATGTCACTTACAGTTCACAGATTCTATACTTGGTCGCCTACTACTTCTGTCCAGTGAAACTTTCCAGTGCATGGGTGATAGTGAGTGTTCTCAGATGATGAAAGCAGTCTTCAAGTGTGGTATGATTTATTCAAGCCACCAGTCATAACTGGAGACCTTGGAACAGAGTTGGAGGCAATGCAGTGAAGCCGTCTCTACCAGAATAGTGTCATGAAGTGACCGAGAGAGCTCTGTACTTTGGCCTCCAAGGATCTGAAAGAAGTGCAGCATCCGTGAAAGAAGGAACTCTGGAACCAAGGTCTGATAGACGCAAGCAGCCTTCGTCTGCCATTCTGGACAGGGTGCGCAGATGTGACCAAGGCAAAGGGTAGATTTCGCTGCTCGCTCGAAGACGGAATGACAGTTGTGGAGTTCAACTGAAGTCCGGGTGATGATTGACGTCGAGCTGGGTGATGGGTGGATGCGCCTGATTGACGCTGATCATCTAACTGATCCTCCAAATCGGACCTATTCTGTCTTTCGACTACTTTTCCCTGCCTCCTTTTTGAAAATCTCAAGCTTGCCATTTCAAGCTTAAATTTTCCTGCTTCCTGTCCCAGTCTTACCATTTCCTTCAATTCTAGCTTTTCGATCATCTGAGAGTCTTCAAATGCTTGACTTCCAGCTTCTATCATCTCTTGAAAGAATCCTACCTCTCTGAGTCCTTGGATTATAATCTGTTCGACGATTCGTGGAACTATTTGCGTCAGCGTTCAAAAATCTAATTCCTGATGAAGATGTCTTACGAGGTAACACCAAAGGAGGAAGGAAAGACGAGCAAAAGAAACTAACAGGTTATTGTGAAGACAGCGGGGAGTTACATATGGCCATCTCTGATTTTCAGAGTGTATTGTGGTTGTTGCTCAGTCTAAGGATCAGGATATAGGACATCGAGGAAAATTAGTTGATATCAGTAATCAAATATTGTCTGTTTGCTCGGACAGGACATGTATTGAGTAAAGAAAATTGTGTTCAATTTTACATGACTAGTGCTTTCAAGATCTATTCTGTACCAGTACCTGGGGTATATGATTCCGCACAAGTATACTCCGTTGGACGAGCTTATGGACCAGAGTCTTATTTTGCCAGACCACATGATCCTTGTACCTGCCACCATTAGAGAGGACACGCCTCACTTGACAGCCCTGATAAAATTCGTCTTCCTTTATAACCGTCGAGGCAATACTGCAGCTTAGAGCTAGAATGCAGGAAAATTTGAAGGTTATAGGCCATTCTGACTTACCACTGGAACAATCCTTCGTCTGATAAGGTTTTGGCAGCGATGAACGCCTGTGCAATAACAAAAGGTTAACAAGAGCAAGAGACCAAAGTTCTGAACTCCTGCGACGACATTTTTCAGATGAATTGATCAACATAAAATTCGAGACTGACAGACTGATGATCCTGCAATTTACTTCAATAAATATGATAACACTACTCGGAGCTTCATTAAGAGGTGGAGCCTCACCGCGCTGTCGAACTCATTAAGAAAGCATCTTCGAGCAAGCTTGGGTACTGCTTGGCACTCGTCACACAGCGAACGCATGGCAGTCAAATCAGAAAATTTCGTATACGTGTAGTGCAACACAACGGCTTCGTCCGCAGCGACATCTCTACGAATCAACAGGACGTTATGCTCAAGCGATTGTTCTCTTATTAGCAACCCTCTGCACGAATTCAATTAAATACCCGTACAGGACATTGAGGAAGAATATACCTCAGAGCCTTAAATGCATTGCTCCATCGGTTGGGACCACTGGGATGTAAGCCAGGCTGAAGACGTGCAGCTATTCGGCCATCGGCCTGACTCAAAAAGTACAGGGAATTGTTATGTGACACTTGGTCGAAAACCTGTCGATAGTCTCGCTTCGTAATATGGCTAGGAGAGCGCTTGAACAGAGTAACCTGCAAAATATTTCCCAGTTTCATGAGTAATTATATCATCACCAAATATTGGTCGGTAAGATGGAACAAATGTGTAATTTGCGTAGAACGAATCAGAACCTCCAAGTTAAGAATAGGTAACCAGTTTTACCATACTTACATCTGTAAAGGGGTCTTGAACACTGTCACTCTCGACAACGCTTTCCTGCAGTACAGAAGCAGGCTTGTTGAGGTTAGAGAGGATCAGAATGCAGCTTACGATTTCCAGGATGACGTGAGGCATCCTCAAGCTGAATGGTTGAGTATTTTATGCAGTTTGGGAAACATATACTGACAGCTGACGAGCTTTGTGTTTAAAAGGACGACCCCATGTGCTTACATAATGTGGAAATACTACAAGGTCAACAGATTCATTGAAGCCCTGGAGTGTAGAGGCAAGAGAATCGTGCGTTTCTCCTCCAGGATGAATCAACTCGTCGACACTGAGATGCAAAATCCATTTCATGCCTGCACGCTATTCAACATCCTGGGGTTAATTTCTAGCCGTGCATTCTCATTTTCAGATATAGTGCGGAAATATTTAAGCACTGGGGTTTACGAATCTTGAGTAAATAATTCTACGTTGTAGTGAAAGACCCTATCACGAGATCATACAAACGCTTAAACGACTTATATAGTTTCTCATAGAACCATGTTCACACGGATTTTTTCCCAACTGAATGCCTCGATGCTTACCCTGGCCACATATGTAGCTGCTTCAAGATTTAATGCCTGCCTAACGTACTTCTGGTAGTTGCATGGTTTGTACTGATAGTCCAGAAGCCAATTGCCTTTCCATATGGGACTGCTCTGTCCACAAAAGCTTCAGGAAGTCATTGGACTGTGACGGTACGTTGTGTTCAACTACAACAGCTCAAGTCGCAACCAGGATCTATCATTTGGATCTCCAAGACCTAGGGAAACTTTGCTTCATCAATTGACAGTGAACAGCCAATACTGGAAGTTAATATATTTGATACTATTGGTCAGCCATTGACTTCCAGAAGAGTCATCGACCTTTTTAGCTGCTTTTCGCGCAACTTCATGGTACGGGAGTTCACCTTCACGCCCTGCACAATCAATGGTGGAAGATAAACATAAAAGTATTCGACCGGGAAATGCATAAAATGAAATGTACAGAAGGATTGACTGGAGCATACTCACGGGTATACTTCGAAGAATGGAGCGCTTCTCCGGTGATTCAAGCTCCCCTTCAACGAAGATGTAGAACGTGTCGACGCCTAGGCGACGATGGTAATATATCCACAGAAGTAGAACGTGCAATTCCACGGAGGTGGTGGTAGCCACAGCAATCTGGTGCAATGCACACGAACAATATGAAAGGCCAGCCTTTTGGGAACAGTCAGACAGCACCTCTCAATAACAAATGCAGACAAATGAGCAGAATTTTCCTCCCTTAGCACCAAGTTCCATTCAGAGTACAAACAGATTTGAACTATCACGGCAGACCGTAATCAGAGATTTGATCAGAGAAAAGCACTTCCTTCACCATTAACAACAAAATCCTACAATATAATTAGAAGGGTTTAGGGAGGAAAGAAGGTGGAAAAGTGTGGCTCGACTCGCCTGAAACGAGCGAAAGAAAAATAAATGCACTTACCGAGTTCGAGGGAGTAAGAAGTTAAGTATTTTTTTAGTAGAATACAATCTCTCAGTCGATCATTTTTCGAGTGTAACCCGATGCCATGATTAATCAGTATTCAAGTCTCCTTACACTTGAAACGAAATACTGCTTAAAACCGCAACAATCAGCTAAGGCTCAATATCTTTTACGATGAATATATGCTTAGGGGAAAAAAATTTCTGCACCTCCCCCTTTACACTGAGTATATCCGAAAGTATACTCTCTACACGATGCAACTCAGATTTAATATTATAAATTTCTTATCACTCAGGTTAGTGTCAACCAGTCAATTTGGCCGAGTGGTTAAGGCGACAGACTTGAAATCTGTTGGGCATTGCCCGCGCAGGTTCGAACCCTGCAGTTGACGAATTCTTTTTGTTTTTTGGGAAGTAAACTTGATGGCAAACGTCGACAGATTCTGTATACTGTTCTTCTATCCTGCTTGCCAGATGCTTACAGCAGCTGGGCTTCTTCTATGTACGCTGTGCTCTGCGTTGGTGATGACCTGGAGAACAATTATCGAACCGTAACTCGATGTTCTGGTGAAATCGAGCAGAAGGCACGATATGCACGATCTCAGAATATCAGGAATTGAATCACAGCTGCTGCTAATCATAGCCTCAACTTCTAATTGAGCATACTTACAGCGAGGAGTTGTCTCTTGGCAAGTTTTGGATCGGATGTGGGAAAGGAGGCTTAGAATTCGTGAGACTATCCCACCTCTTCAATTGGCAGCTGAATCTGAGGTAGAAGTTAACCTTAACTCATTGCTATGTTCGCTGTGTGTGCCCAGAGTTCAGAAGTGCAGAAAATGAGTGGGGAAGAGAGAGAGAACTTGAGATAGCGGACGCTCGAATCTCCAGCCAGCATATTCAGGAATGAAGCCGATGTCCTCTCGGCCACTGTCCGGGCAATCGGGCGGAGCAGGAAGTGGTGGAGGTTGGAGAAGTGGCTGCTGAGTGGCCACGAATTGTCGAACGGACCATGGTTTACTCAAAGTGAAGGCGATCAGCGCCAATGTGAGTGGCAGCGCTGCAAGAAGGTAGACCGGCATCTTCATGACCTCTTCCGATTCTCCTCCCTGCCTCGATACTGAACTGCAAGCAGCTGCGGCAGTTCAGAAGTGGTGGAGGCTGTTCATGAACTCTCCAAGTCTCTGCAAGAAGTGAAAGAGTGTTCGTCCTCGAGGTGCTTCTTGGAGACGGTTGGCAGTTACGGGCTGCAAGAGCGTAGTTGCTTGTGCAAAACAGAGCGAGTGGAATGAAAGGAAAAATCTTGGTGGCTTGGATTTCCTGAGGCCCTTTTCCTCGTGCTGCACATGAGGTCAGCTCTTCCAGACTGGGCTCCCAGTGCAGAAGATCTCCAGCTGCTGGGTCAATCTGTACCGATGGCCAGCAGTTCCCGAGGACATGATTTGCGCAGACAGGTACTGACCAATTGAAGGCCTCGAGGCATCTTGGGCATGCAATTCATGCTCATTCATTCATACGTCAGCCGTACTCACATCCTGGATTTCTCTCGTCTAGCAGTCGTACAATTGGGCATTACACGGATGCCAACAGTTCGAGTAAGCATGGCTTTGTACCCTACAAGGCGCCTTCTCTCCATCTTGGGATAATCCGGATTATGAGAGGTCGGTGCTGGACCAGGACGAGGGAGACGTTAGTTCATCTGAATCTGGAAGTACATCCAGTTTAGTATTTACTATTTTGACACATGAAAATGGCGTTAGGAATTTCATGTCTCAAAAGTATTCACCTGCATATCCTGGCCCGGCATGACCCTATGCAAGGTGAGTATCGTCATTACCTATAAACGGCTATTCTATGCAAAGAACCGACCAAGTTCCCAGCGTGTCGCACTTACGCATTCACTTTTCACAACATTACTAAATTGGCAGACGAGCCGGAAGTGCGTCACTGTAATTAAGACGAGGCCTTCCTGGAACAAAAGAGGCCAGGGTATCCAACTCGCGTTCGCCCGTCATGTGGATAGCATGTGACTGATCATAAACTTCACGGCCATATCATCACACCCACATCGCCCGTGACGCAGCCTGTACAAAGCCTAGGGCCACTGTCGTCACGCGCTATCGCTCAGATGTGGAACAGGCCAGTTTCTCGCGTGTCAGAATGTTTAATACAGGTGGTGTGAACGGAGCCTCTAGAGGTCCTAGGTTTGCAGTCGTATTTCTCGGACTGCAAACCAATACTTTCTAATTCGTATTGCTCTCAAAAACACAAACCATGGGAACCAAAGAATGTAGACGATATTAGAAAGTTTAGGTCGAGTTGACCTCCTTACATTAGCAAAATCACAGAGATACCCAAAAACTATTCGTGCTTTCTTTCTAAGCAGACGCAGTCTCGAGTAATGTACAAAGGAAAAAGCCAATAGAGATAGGACGGTATCCACACAGTACTGAACATGTGTGGAAAACTCCCAATATCAGTTCTAGATCACGCGCCAAAATGCAGCGTACTACAGATGATATTATCATCCCCGGTCTAAACGAGTAAGCTCTTTGAAGGACCTGATTTTCCCAAACTAGCATAATAAAAGCTGCTCGGGAGACAATCCTCAGATCCACACATGGGTCAAAAACGGGACCTAGACTGTTCGATTCTTCCTCGAAAACCCAACTGCAAATATGGCTACGGCTTTAGTTCTAATCCAAAAATCTATCCCGCTCCCTAACGCGCTCCCTATCTCTAGGCCACTCTCGATCTTTGCTCCGCTCCCAGTCCCTGTCTCTGTCGCGGTCCCTGTCTCTTTCTCTGTCTTTTCCCCTTCCTTTATCCCTGTCACGATCCCTACTCCTTTCTCTCTCTCGGTAAGAATCGCGGTCGACGTCCCTCCCTCGATCACTATCACGCCACTCTCGGTCTCCTCGGTCTTCTCTTCCTCGGCCCTTGTCATACTCGTTCAAACCACGATCATCGTCTCTAGATCGGTGACCGTTCCTGCCACCCTCATCTCGGTCTCGACTGTCTCGATCACGGCTCCAGCCTCGATTGCCCTCTTGCTCCCAGTCATTCTCCTTGTTTCCCCTATCTCGGCTTTTCTCTTTGCTCCCTGATCGCTCGACAATCCCCAGCTCTTCCTTGTCCCAAGCTGACTTGCCAGCACCGGGCATAGTGGACCCAGCTGAATCCCCGAGCTTGGCTTTCAGGCGAAATTTCTTCTTCAAGTTGCCGAACTCATCGTACATCTCTCCATCATCCTAAATCCAATCAAGTTCGAAGCCAAAAAGGTGAATAAAGACTGAGGACAGAGAACTGAATCTGTAAAAATACTGGAAGTGCATGACAAAAGACGCTATGCTCCTTCACAATACTTGGAGATCGTCATTGCTTCACATCTGCCAATTTTAGATACGAAGCGAATTCCGAAAAACACTTACGTCTTCAAGCTCCCGTCTCCGTCGCCTCGTCTCCTCGATCTCCGCTTCATCGAATTCCTTGTAGCCTCCGGCTCTCCCTTCCCTACAATGAAGAGAGATAGGTTTAAAAACGTAGAACAATTATCCACCTTAAGAATCACCTACTTTATCAACATTAATACCATCACAATGTGTTTACAATTCAGATCTCGAACAACTGGAACATGTCTACTGCAATGCGATGGTCGAGTGAAGCCAATTACTTCGTCCATTTACCGACTCTCATCCAAAAAGGGCAAGGGTTGAACTGTGAATGAAGATTTGAACTTATGTGACAATGTTCAAACGAGGTGCTGTCTAATTATGAAGGGTGAAAAAAGAGGCCATACCTCACTCCACCCTCGTTGTGGCCAGGCTTGGTTGTATTGCATATATTGCACTTCGTACGTTTGGCCCAGTTTATGTTTCCACACCTGGCAAGCAAAAGAGAGTGGATTACAAACCCATCAGATCGATTCTCCAAGAAGTGACTAGAAAACAACTCTAAAAGCATCCTAACATCTGCTCAAAGGCCTCTTAAGTACAAAGATACAGTGCATGTGGATTGAGGACTTATTCGCAAAGTTTACAAACTGGCATTAAGACTGATCGAAAAGAGACAAAGTCTGAACTCTTGACTGCCACTAGAAAAAATCGAGCAAAGTAGAATTATTGCCCGAGAGTTTATAGGTACTAGTTATGTCTCTCCCACTTCATGAACGAAGGCAACTCACATCGGACAATTCCAGTCGTTAGGTCCAAACAAGCCTGGTGGGCCACCCGGACCGCGGCCACGTCCAGCATCTGCACCAGGGCCTCGACCGCGACCGCGACCACCACCCGCTCCTCCAGCACCACCGCTTGATCCACCAGCAGGGCGGGCAGTACCACAACGATTGCAAACTCCTCGAAAGGCGAAGTTGATATTGGCACAACTGAAGTAGAAAACACACAACAGACAACTTTATTGAAAACCATGAATGCAAAATGCAGGCGACGGAAGACTTCTGCCTAAAACCTCATTCCAGGCAACCATGCTACAACGTGGTTCCATATCTATCGTTCTGGCTGGAAACGGTGCGTTTTAAGTTTTGGGGCATTCTGCCAACCGTGGGCCAAGAGATTAACTTGACCACCAAACCCATGACTAACTCGCTATTTTCAGTCGAGAACCCAATTTCTCAGCATAAGATATTCCTCCTATGTCCATGAATGCATGAATAGGGTGTAACTGGAAGTCACGCTTCTTCGCATAGACCTTTCAGTATCTGTGCGGGTAATGACGAGATGACGAAACGACCATTCCATGGCTCTTGTCGTAACCCAGATAATTAGCGAGAGTGATATCCACCTATCGCGACCTAGACTTCAGATTTCACGAATGTCTATAAAAGAGTAGACTGTACGATGCTTCCAACTTCGTACTACGATATAACTGCTCATTGCCTACACCTCCCTCAAAGATCCTAGAAATCAGTTTGTAAGCTGTAACTATATCGCCTTCTTCGAGAATGTAAATTATGCCTTCCATAGTACACGTAACGCCTCTGATGATATGCACAGGCTGGGACATCCCCATGAATCACTATGGCAGGGTAACCATACGCTCGTCCATGACTGCAACTGGCTGAAAGTAAACCTCCATGTCATCAAAAAACTTCGCTGAATTTAATTTCCAGCTGGTTTACGGCTTTGTTGTTTCCGACAAGACTAGATCAGTCGAGCAGCACCCTTTTGAGAAATGCCAACTATATCATATTCGTGGTGAGTTGACTCACAGGGTTTTGCATTACTGTTCAGGATAGCCAGCGCGCAGAAGCTGTGGCCGTTGTTGATCGTTTGAAGTGTGCTCCTCACAACTTGAGCACTTCCAACTTGTGGCACACTTCACGGGCCCAGACACTCTTGAAGGTGATCAGGACAAAGGTTTCTATCTAATTCTCGCTGATGATGGGTAATCCCCAGGAAGCCAGCGGGAGCAAAGGGAGCATGATAGAGCCGCTCACCAAAGTCATCACAGACCTTGGATTTGGACACGGCCAATCCCCCTCCTGTTGCCAGGCTTTCGCTCCAGGTTCCCCACGACCCCTCCCTCGCCCTCCACCGCCCGGCAGACCTCCAGTTCCACCACCGTCGCTCATCGCCGCCGGGTCCATCGCAAATTCGTCCACTTGATCCTGTACTACATCTGTCACAGGCACTTGCATTGTTGCACTCGGCGACTGCATTCCCACTACTACGGGCTGATCAACTTGTTGCTGGTCTCTGTTCTTAGACTCTGCAATGGACACACTGATGAGGGCACCATGAAAGTCGGTGTTATTGAACCACTCAACAGCTGCAGAGGCGGCATGAGAATCTTCATAAGTAACAGTAGCATCCCCCTTGGGTTCATTGGTCACCTTATCCCGGTAAATCCAGATCTTAGGCCGCCCAGTCCTCTTATCTTTCTGCTTTGAAACAAAAACAAAGACGACTGGCCTTTAATAGTGGCACAAGATACTTCTCAAGAGTGAATTGACGATGAGCTTATGAGGAGAAACGAGCTACATTTACGTGAGCAACATTTGGAATGTTAGCCCTCGTCTTGCTGTAAGAAAAGGTGAAGGGTGAAAAACCACAAAAGGGAAATCCGGGTCCAACAGCATGAACAGGAAATGGTAAATCGGTATGATTTGTGCATTTATAAACATTGCGAACAGAAGATCTGCCTTTTGTATAAAGGAAGGAAGCAAAAACAAACCTTGAGGAGCCCAATCGTTCCAAAATGCTCAGCTAAGAGAATTTCATCGGTTCCAGGGGGGAGTTGACACACGTAAATCGCACTATTCAGGACGGGTGGAGCACCTCCAAAGCCCGTCATGCTTCAAACGACCATAAACCCTATATTCCAGAGACCAACTGCCCAGCGCGAAGCCCTGTTCACAAAAAACATCGTCTCGAATCAGTGAGCGGCCCCAGGAACACGCCATCGCCCATTCAAAACTCCCCACATCTCAACTGAACTCTGCCTCTCTAACACTCGTCAGAAATGCTCGGAGAAGCTTCGGTAACACGAAGACGGCACCCCCTACTCGCAAACTGACGAAGGCCAAACCCCCATTGCAAGAACGCAGTTACATCAAACCCTCAAGACAAACCTCCCGAATGAAACAAACCCGTGAAAAACGTGTAATGCCAAACCGAGGCCATGAGCATCAAATGCTCCTCGACGACAGTAAACACTTGCACAAAGCCGGCACGACACAATGCAGGAAGCCAGAACAAGACGATCAGCGCAGCAACAGACCACCCACCTACTTCCAACCCGCCGAAATCAAGTCAGCCTCCCTGAGCCTAAGCAGACACCAAAACAAGACACTCAGGCCACCCTCCCCACTCCCCAGAGAAACTCATACATCAATTCCTCCCTCCTTTCATCATCCCGAAATCGAAACGGCAGGCACACAGCGGGGAGCGAAAACTGATCAATCCATCGCCCAACAACAACCGACCGAGTGCACAAAGAAGGAACGGCAGCACGACGTATGTCGACACCAGTTTGCGCTGCTCTTCTCTTCCCTCCTCCTCTTCCTCCTCCTCCTCTTCCTCCCTCGCCTCTTCTTTTCCCTGCAGCATATGCCAAGAGGACAGTGACGGACCAGTGCACTAGTCAATCTCCTCCGCTTCCACCTTCTCGGGAAAGCATCGTGGCTGTCATTCGACGCCGCCCCCTTTCTTTCCTCTCGAGATAGAGACACAGAGAGCACTCTCGATTCTCTGGGACCGCAGCAGCACAAGAGACGGAAGGGGACGGGGGAGGGGGAGAGATCCGTTGTTGCGTGAGATTGTGTTGGGGGGGTGAGGAACGGCAGGAGCACAAGAATCGACTTGACTAATTCGGGACTCGGAGCCTAATCGCGTTTTACTTGCTAATCGGGTTTAGTTGCTAATTAGGTTTCGCTGATGGCGCCCTCTCCGGGCCTGGAGTCTGGATGCTCCACGGATGGTTGTTGGCGCACTGCGCCGCGTCAGAGCCCGCGTCGAGGAACTGCGACGTGGTGCTCGGGTCGGTTGGAACGAATTAGGCCAAATAGTGGCCCCTGGTCGTTCCGAGGGCGGGTGGAATATCATTCGGGCTCTCTGACTTTATCTGCCCTGAAGTCTCTCCAGTTTGACTCTTGTGATTAATGTCTTTGAGATGCTGAGTCTTCATCTTATTGTTCCCGGATGTTCCCGTATGGTCAATGAAGTATGAACAAGAACTTACCTACATATGATTTATTTTTATTTTTTTTAACTTCAATATGGTTGTCTAAACGTTTCAAAGAATAATAAATATCACTTTGTTGAAATTTTATGCCGTTTTTTAAGACTGAATTTTTAAAGCAGCTACAAGAATAAGTACTTGACTAGATTCATATCCATGATACTGTCTTTATAATCATATAGAGTCTATGAAGCTCATATAAAATATAAATATTATCAATGATACAATAATGTATACAAAATATATCCAGATTTTTTTTCAATTTTTTTCCAAAAAATTTAAAAATCCAATTTTGATACAATTTAACATTTAAATCCAATTTAAACATTTTTTTAATTATTCTTACTCTTCAAAATAATTAATCTGAGCCAAAAACTGTAACAAAATTGATCAATCATGTTGGAATAATTTTATCTTTGGAGAACTGCAATGAAATTTAAACTTGAATTTATGGGATGCACATTGTAGCCAAGAAAAAACATGGAACAACAATAATCAAAATTTATCAAAACACATGTAGTTTGAATAATTTCACAATCTGTTTACTTACTTTCAAACTTGAGACACATGATGATCCTTAAAATAGTATTACTATTAATTTATTATTAAGAATATTTATAAAATTAAATAAAATATATATACATACTCATTTTTTCATATTCATAAGAATTTAAGTTTTTATATCCTTAAGGTCTTTTTTTTAATTCATACTTTATTATCCAAATTTATCTTTTAAAATAAATTCAAAGATTGATTATAAAAAATAATTTCAGCACAGCTTATTCTGTTGTAAAAAATGTGAATTTTTCCAAATTTTTTTAAAATAGATCTAACATTTGGTTCACTCTGATATGATAGGATACATCTATTTATCCAAATTAATTTTTGAAGGGATTTCTTAGATATTCATAAAGAATTTATTTGATTTAAATAATTATCTTACTTCCAACATTTCAGCAGAGTGGTTTATTTGGTTAAATTTATACATGAATCATTTATAAATTGTGTATTTAAAAAAATTTCAAAAATTTTTTAAATGAAATAAATAAAAAAATTTCATCTAAACTAAAGATACATTAGTGCAGGTTATGGCTTTTTTTTTATAATAAATTTTCCAAAAATAATTTACACTAAAGATAATCAAACCTGATAAGTTCTAATAATGGAGTATGAAATCTAGAGAAATTTTTAGGTATATTTTAATCATGTATGATTTTCATAATTTTTTCTAGATCTCAGAATCCAACTTAATTATATTTTAAACATGAATTACTTCAAAATTAGTTCTTTTCATTCAAATTAAATCATGAATAAATTATTTTTTTGTCAATGTGGATATCAAATCAAAATTTTGAAGTAATACTTCCAAATTAATGAATATCAAAATTATTGAAACAATTGATTTTGTTGAAAAGCAATTTCTAAAAAAAACATGAACTATTCAAAGTAAGATTAATCAGCTCTTAATCATTCATTTTTCCGATTAGGATAACTGTTTTCACAGATTTGTGTGCTTGTGATTATTTTCGACATCATCGTAAATTTTTGTATATATACACTTAACAAAACATTCAATGCATATGCAGAACAAGTTTCAATCCTTTTAATAGAATTTAAGTTTAAAGACTAAAACGTCTGAAAATATAGACTAATTTCATCATTTCTTGCGCCAGCATGTACAGTCGTTGTCTCACATCTCTCAGAACCACACGTGCAAGTTTACTGCATGTAGCCCTTCCATTGCAATTTCATGGGCTTTCGTATCTGACCGTATATACGATACTCTCCCTCCGTACACTGGCGCAGCTCCCGTGCGATAATTTATATATAAAAGTAAGATTTAGAATAATTTATTCGAGTATATGCAATTTTGAGAAAATCCAGTATTACGCAACATTTAACTAAGTTCACGTGTGTTTGTCATCTTCCTTGGTTTCACAACATAATAAGCGGTCGATATCTTAAGATTTCAAAATATGGACCGGAGAGAGGAGAGTGTTTTGAAAGTATAACAGATTTTATTACCAACATTTCACCTCGTAAATGTAGGTTGGTTCAACGATGCGTGCTGAATTGTTAGTATGAATTATGGAATACAGTTCAGCGGCAACCTAACCTCGTCCGTAACCCAGGGTATTAACTGGTACGACCCTGGGTTACGGCCTTTATATAACGACCCATCTCAGCTTCCCTCTGTAACCGTACTGGTGCTTACGCTTCACCCCAATGGACTTCAGTCTCAATCTTCACGGAGCCTTATTGCGGAGAAGGAGAGCGCTCTACGCTATCACGTACACTTCTTTGATTATCCCTTTCAAGTCGTTTGGGCATATATTGGCCGGAAAAGCAGTCGCTTGTTCTCCTTTCTCTCTTCTCGCTGAAGTAGCCAACATTTTCCATCGAAATACTCAATTTAACCATCCATCCGTCAATGGGGAGTAGACATTTGAGATTGCAGAGTGCTCTAACTTCTTCCTTGGGAATCTAAACATTCAGGACATGGTGGTTCTTGCTGTTTCAGGTTTGAAACATTTGATTAGAGACAGCTGCAACCCCAAAACTGGAATGGTTTCACAACAGAGGCCCATCAAGTCACAATGTGGTGTGGATGAGATTTGAGCACGAACTGACATTTACAATCGGAGAAATCCAGAATCGTGCGATCGGACTCAATGTCAGGAAAAAAGTGTGAGATATGAGAGTAATTTCTTCAGTGACCGACATGCTTGTTAGAACAAAGATCGTGTTATGTACAAAAGATACCAGAACAAAACTACTTGATATTCTAATCCGGACCGGTTTCGTTTGCGCCTGCAAACGAAGAAGCTATCAAACTATCCTGTTGGATAGTTGGCTTAAGAATGTAAGAGACAATTTGGTCAGACGACAGCATCTCGAATGGAATTGCCATTTTGATATTGTCGCCTGCTGACAGTTCTATCGATTTGAGCTTTCCATTCCTGTGTCATCAGATGCCGCAGCTGTCTTTAAGACCAAAATGCAGATTACCTCGACAGAGTTGTATGCTCGGACTGAGTTTAATTCCGAATTCGCTGGCACTGGAGAGTGTAGGCTGACTGTGCTGTGCACTTCACGACAGAAATGCTTCTCAGTCTTGATCGAAATTAAGAGGGCAAAACGAACAGGCAGATTTCGCTTTACCACCACCCGTGAAGCTCTCATTGCAGCTGCAATCTCAATAAGCTGGAATACCTGGAAGATGAATTCCTCGCTGGCTGGCGAATTGTGGCAGGCTGTGCTTTTTATCTTTCAGGCTTACCATCTTCTGTTTGTTTGGAAGCCTCAGTGGATGTGACGTCGTCGCTTGCCATATCTTCGAGAATTAATTGAACCTCCGTCCACTGTCGCTTGGATCTTTTACTCGTCGCTGGAGTGGGGCAAGATATTGCGCTTTCTACCCAGATCCTTTGCCAGTCTTCGGACAGGCCTCTGAAGACAGTGGTCGTAAGCTGAAATAATCCATGATCGTCTTTCTTCTTCTCTGAAGTGAGCTAGGTGGGCTTAAGACGGACGATGGACTTCCGTCGGACTGCCCAAGAGGACTGTCCTCTTGACATCTTCGGACCTCGCATTCATTCTCAGCATGTGTCGAGAAATCGGATAGCGCTCTGGATCTCTTAAAAGGTGGAGTAGAATGTTTGTCACCCACGCTGTTCTTGAGTCCCACGTAGCTGTAATCGTTCTCCTTTTCACTATCGGAAAACTGTCTCGATGAGTCGACTTGCACTTCTGCTACTGAAAGGCTGATACCTCCTGTTTTCCCTCCATCGCCGTTCAGATCTCTAAATGGAACTCTGGTCCTCTTGAATGGTGGAGTTACTTGCTTTTCGCTTGAACCTCGTTGTGTCCTCGGCGTGATGTTTGCCTCCTCTCCCTGGTGTCGACGCTCTTCAGAAGATTGGACACTGTGAATCGTAAATACCTCGTCCGGCAGCCTGTCCTTAGAACTGAAAAGCACTCTTGTCCTCTTAATAGGTGGAGCTTTTGTGCTGCCGAAGTGAATGCGTTTGAAGTCGAAAGATGTGGCAGTGCTCTTGGCTGCGTTGACATCCTGCTGTTCATCCTCACTCAAGCTGTTTGTCTCAGATGACTCTGTTCTTTGCGAACTCGTTGAGAAAGGATTATGCTCGATGTTCGTTCCGTCTTCGGTGGCGGTAGTAAGGAGATATGGACGACTGCCTAATGGCAGTGGATGCTGGCTATCTTCGACGAGCCTGAGAATGTTCAAATGTCCATCTTTGTCAGTCGGATGTGTCTTCTCGTGCTGTGGCAAACTGGTCTGGAGTGGATGCTGGCTGTCTTCCAGGCCGAGGATATTCGAGTAACTGTAATCCTGGACCACGTGAGACTCCTCTTGACGGCGACAAGACGGAAACCCATTATATTTTGGTGTTAATCTCTGGGAGAAGCGAGGCGCCCTCAAATTCCACACCCTTACCTGATTCACGGGAAAAACAACATTGGCTTATGAATAAAATTTAACCAAATGCTCTCTGATTTTTATAGCCTTCAAAGTACCAAATCCTGAAGAAAGAAGTGAAGAAGATCAACGACAGTGTCATTATGGTAAGTTCCGAACATCCACAGTTACAGAAACAAGCAATACACCGCATTGGGCTTACCGTGTAGTCATCAGAGCATGTAGCCACTTTGCAGTGTTCCATCGGACACCTGGAACAAAAGCACATACTCAGAATACTGTTGCACTCCACAAAACGCTGTCCAGAATAGGAACTTAAGACAAAAACAGGAGTTCCAATGTTTTTCTTGAGACAACAGACTCAAAAGGTTAGGAGCGGAAAATTTACCAGTCTACTGCTGTCACTTCTCCGCTATGACCTCTTAGAAGTGTAGGAGCGTCTTCTGGTCTGTCCACCTGGGAATAGAAAGAGCAAAAACCCGCAGCGTTCAGCTTCTACGTTATTTATGTTCGGGAAAAGCATTCGCACATATTGATTCCAGCAAGCAATTTCAGCTGGAAACCTTCGAGCAGTTCCTTCGGGCAATTAAATGTGATATAATTTGGCAGCTGAGTAAAGTACACATCCGAAAATTACCTTCCAAAGGTAGGCATTATGATCAGTCGAGCCGCCTAAAATGTGGCTTCCATCCGGACTGAATGAAGCCTAGAAACATGGCGAGGAGATATCAGTCAGTCACACTGGGCTACGTTTGCGACAATTCAGACAGCCACTTCAAGGTCGAAAGACATGATGGTGATTTTCAGCTACATTGCCTTGACGCTACCTTGATGTAAAAAGAGCCCATCGTGTGTCCCGAAAAAGTCTTCAGCTCGCCTTTAGCCAATCCCATAACGTCATACATGTAGATTCTGAAACATGCGTTAAAGGTGAACGACTTAGATTAACCTTCTGAGGAAGACAGAGGCAGAATATTCAGAACTTGTCCAAGATAAAAGCTGGCTCATCAAAGCCACTCACTTGCTGTCCACGCATGTCGCTATAAGTCGCGTTCCACTTGGATCCTGCGAGAGTCCGGCTATTCCATGCATTCGTGTTCCCTGTGTCATCAAACGCGTACTTCTTGTCAATTTGCAAATGCGGACATCTGTATGTCTACTCATACGGTGTTCAAGTCCGAAGTGAAGTTTAGATATTTGAAACTTGCATAGTCGGGTTATTAAGTACACGGAGAGCGCAGGAAGTGCTCGAGACTTACAGAAGAAACACGTTCTGATGGAGAGTGAGTAACAGGACACTTCAACTTTCTTGTGTCCCAGAACTTGACAACCCTGCAGTTGTCAAGGATATGAGTAACGCGTGAAATCAGATTCGAGTACATTTGATTGATGACGATTGTGCTTGAAAGAAGTTACGGTCCCTCAACTTCACAAATCTGAATTGAACCTCTTTAGCTTGCACTCGACCGACTTACCCATCGTTTGCTCCCGCAGTCGCTACTAGACGCTCGTCCTTCAGGTACAAGACAGCCGTAACACTTCTAGTATATCCCTGAAGAATTACACCACATGATAATCCATGAGTGGTTCAATATTATTTACATGAAGAGGAATTTAAATCCATACAAGTAAGGAAAAAGATCTAAGAAATTTGCTTGAATACCTTTCGACGTCTTGCGTTCATTACACCTTTGTGAGCATCCTTTATCTTTGTAACAGGCCTGCATGTAGATAAAAACGTTATTTCAAAGCGGCAATAAATTTCGCCTAGTATGCCATACAAATATAACAAAGAGCCTCTGAAGATGTGAGATGGAGATCATTACTCACATATACTTTGAACATCCTGCAAGGGATCCTGATTGGCTTCTTAGATCCCAAAACGCCACCGTTCCATCCCTTGATCCGGACACAAATAAATCTGGAACCAAAACAACAGTATCAGATGATTAGAGCTGATGAGAACGTTCTTGAAGTAAACCGACAATGCTGGACTTGCTTTCCAGCCCACGATAGCGAGTACGAAGATCCTAACGAGAACCTGGACCTGGATTGACAATGCATCAAGCCAACGATATGAAAACATCTTGCGGAAACGTGTAGAACGTGAGGGACTCTACTGCAGTTGAAAGTCGTTACCTGATTGGGATGGATGAACACACAGCGACTTCACGCTGCCAGAATGCCCCATCATTACCCCTACTCCCCTCTTGTTTTCAATATCCCATAATCGAATCTGCAATTTGAAGAAGATGTACTTAATTCACTGTAGGTTGCATCATCAGATCAAACCTTTATAAAAATAACCGGAGTTGGGGATGCAGAAACCAGTAATCTCACTGCCGTGCTACGAAAGGACAGGTGGCTTTCTCTGAAGAAGGAAAGACTTACTGTTTGATCTCCTGAGGCTGTCAGGATATGCGTGTCATCCTACATGAGCACAAAAGCATGCTCAGTACATTCTTAGCCAGTAGACAGTGTTAAGAAGAGCTCCTGTCTGAACATCCAACATGTTTTACAGCAAGTCCAGGCTCACCTTCGTCCAGCAAACGTCGAAAACTGCATTAGTGTGAGCCATCCAAAGCTTCGAGCGCACGTCCCCTGGTGAGGTTCATAGGAATCTTAAGATTTAGTAATGTTTTGCCAACAGGTCACTGAGCGCGCTGCTCACTGACGATGTAGACTACTAGATGGAGAACAAGCACAAAGAAACCAATTATAATCGGCAAATGCTATTACTATCAATGGAGCCCATGCCGTCATAGATCTACACTAGACAAGGCAGCGAGACCTAGCTAGAGCAGGATGAAACCTAGAAGTCACAAGACAGATGTACTTGTGGTTTGCATACTTGTCTTTGAAAAACAGTCAACCATTGAAGGTAGTTGTCCATTCGTGTTGAAGATGCTGACATATCCTTCTTCATCCGCCACAGCCAACATTTCCCCTTCCCATCGTTTCTGAGGTGGTCACGATAACATATGTGTAAATTCGCACCGGAAATAAGAGATGTAAATCAAGTGACTCAAGGCTTTCATGTAGGAGTGTCCTTGTCTAAAATGTCGACGTACTTAGATAACATGACTCTCTAGAGCAGTGCGCATCTTCTACCTTGGCAAAAGATAGACTTAATGGTGGCGCGCGGTAGCTCTGATTTTGCACAGTGAGGACCCCTTCCCCCGACGTTTGTCCGTCCGATGTCCATTCTCCTTCATACGGAAACTGACGTACTGATCATTTCCACAACATGTGCGTGAGATGCTTTCCAGATCGAAATTAGAAATTTATTATTGTTGTTAAAACCTTCTCATAGACTGTCTTTGAGGAGCTTTTCCACATGCTACGTAAAAATCAAATCAACAACGTTGCTGGAGACGAAGCTTCGAGCATTATTACCTTTGGAAGTACGAATTTGACGAAGGTTCAAGGTTTGAAATAGAGATGGAAGTCGTGCAGTGGGTTTCATTGCTTGAGAAGTGGGAACAGTATCACAAGCCAAGAGTTCCCAAGCTGTACCCATTTGCATGAGTTCCTCTGATCGTGATAGGAGAGAGGGAAGGCAACTCCTACATCTCTATGATTCACTCTCCATTCAACGAACCACTTTCAAGGACGTCTGCACAGCAATGGAAACTGAAGAGGTTAGTATAAATGGGGAGCAGAACAAGTTATATTTCCAGAATCTTGCCACATAGATAAACTGCTCAATTGCGAGTGTGTTCACGACTAATAGCTGAATATATACTTATGCCAGACTGCTTTCATCGTCAATTTGCAGTTAATCCGCAGGGTTACAAAGCCCAAATCTAAGCAAATGTGCAGATTCAGCCGGTAAGTTGAGTCCTCAGTGCTAAGTGCTAAGTGCTGGATAACTCGGATGGACAGACAGCAATGCATGCAAGTAGCCTGGGATTCAATCGTTAGCAGTATATAATACAATCTCACAAAGGTTGGACACGAGGAGCGAGTCTATCAACGTACTCGCCCGTCGAAGACAGTGAGGTATAAGTTGCAGTACAAACTCTATTACGCACAACACCAAATAGTTACTATATGAGTTACACACAACACAGCAACCATTATGCGAATGCTCGATGAGATCCGATTTAAAGACGTTCAGCACGTAAATTACACCAAACTGACCGTCGGACCACGACTTACAACATTAGTGCCATCACTCAATTTGCTCCATGCTTTCTGCTACGGAGTGTAGATGACAAGAAAGGAATTCATCTAGCAAAGAATAAACAACCAACTCGCGTGCCTACCTTGCTGATCATAACCATCAGCTATCAGGACAGTCACGTATAGAATAATGACATGAAACGAACGTTACTTTGTTCAGATAAGTAACATTTGTATTCCGGCTGTTGGCAGAGACGATTAAGTACTTCTCCTTCAGGTGAGCACTATTAAAGACTATCAGATAACCAAGGAGGTCCTCGTCAAAAACTAACCTCGTCGCAATGGAGAGAAAAACGCGAGGCAGCTTACTCCGACAGAGCCAACGATTCTGTCCCCTGAAGGCTGTCCAATTTGTACAGAGAGGCAGGCCTCATTTCAACAGCGTGCAGGGCATAGGGGCCACAATTATGCTAACTCCAACGAGCACACAAATGACACGGTATGACAGAACAGAAATTCGTGAGTGAGCTGTGCAAGGTGCAGACAGTAATCTTCTAGAGCAGAGCGTAGGTCGAGCTGATCAATCGACAACTCCTCACTCTCGACGTTTCAACAGAGCCCATTCCCAAATTCTTAAGAGGTTGCGACCCTGTTGTGGATGTGCAGCAGAGGCGGCAAAGGGATCCGACGCTCTAGTGAGAAGAACGGTTCCTGGAGCCCGCTGCTGCAATTAATGGAAGATTCGATCTGCAAATTGCGCCAATTTGTGCCACGGGCCCCGGCGAACGCTGCCGTGACCCTGAGCTCTACGAACTCAGGGGGCCTGAAATGTGCGCGGGTTCTTCTACTCGCGGGAATCTCCAATTTTGAATGCGGCGTTGACACGTGTAACATGGTGGTCTGAATTGAACCGGACGGCTGCTTCAGTAGTTGAGCGAATCCCCGCTGCTTTCACATTCTCTACGTACGGCAACAAATGCATTCATCCAAGTTTATCAAATGTTGTGATGAATAGCAGCTAATACCATAGCACAGTGGAATGTAACGCATTTATTTATCTACTACATGATCTATCAACGATATCGTAATATATTTAGAAATATTTCTCATCATGATACTATAAAGGTCTAGCTCCAGTTTGAGGTGGTTTACTTATTTCTCCAATTTCATGGTGTCTTGTTCTCATTATGCTCTCCATGTTGCCCCGTTATATCCGCTATTTAGTGAATCCCAAGCGTGCATGCTCTTTATCTTGGCTCTCAAATGCACTGTAGCTTTCAAACTCCTGGTACATATAATTGCACATCAGCACTTCCATGCATTTGCATGGCCCATCGTCACTAGTTTAGATGAAGTTGTTCACATCTTTTTTTGGAGTGTACAATATAATTACACATGATATCATTGGAATGATACTAGGTAACTATCCAATAATAATCCATTGACAAATCATTGCGAACAAATTTAGTTAGTTTTGTAGCTTTCATTTCAGCTATTCTATATCTATATAGATATACACATGGTAACCATTGAGATAATTAACAAATTCTCTAGAATTAACTTAAGGGTCCGACTAGGGCCACACCCGCTACATACAAACAACTGATTGCGCGTCAAAGTACGCCTCCCCTCAAACCCAGCTGCTAACCCGAGCTTGTCCGCGATGGAGATGAGAGCGTAGTCAAGAGGCTTCGAGGGGCGCGGGGCTGCTGAGGCCGTCGCTATCTCCCGCGATGCTGGGGCTTGGGCAATAGCAGCGCTTGGGTAGTAGCAAAAGCGGGCATGGGCATAGTAATTAGTGGATGGCAAAAAAATAACAGTCTTCTTAATTTATTGCTAAATCGTGATATACCAACTAATAAACATAAAATTTAAAGATATTACCTTAAAAGTCCATACTGGAAGCAGAATTTTTTGTTTGTAAGAGAAATTAATCGTTGACTCATTATGCAAAATATTTTAAAAATAAAATTCCTTCATATATATATCACATTAATTATAATTTATTATTGAAAAATAAACCTTGGGTTGATATTATAATCAAAATTAGTCTATCAAGATTACAAATAACGTTTTAATTTCACGTAATTGCAGGTACACAACGATTGAACCGTAATGCAAACGGATAGTTAGCATAAGATACGTGACTAAGAGTCTTGAAACAAGGTTTATGTTTTTAAAAAAGTACATTCACAGAAACATAACATTAATTTTCCAGTATCAAAATTACGTAGTTAAGAATTATAATAGTTATACTCTTATGTAGTAGCAGGTTAATTGAACTAACTATTCATAAATAGATTAGCTAGACTTAATGAAGATCTAAACTAAATCATTCTAATATTCTTTGTGATATATGTCTTGTTTTCAAGACGTGAATCAAGGCCTTAAGTAATCTATATGACAAATTTGCAAATCATTTCATAAATAAACATTACATTTATTTATTTAGAAACCAACATAGATTAAAACTAAACTGTAGTCAAAGCACTATGTACATAATCAACTTTTAAGTCTTCTAAGTTTGGTCTCACATTGACATGAATGTGTGGGAGAGTGAACAATTATATGTCAAGAGTTAATATAATATATAATAATATACTCACGACAATGTATGAGATAAAATAATATTTAGTTCATTGTACAAACTATTAGAAGTAACTTGTTGTATTCTTCTATATAGAGCAGTGGCAAGGGAAATCTACACTAGAGCAATCACATTTGATGCTCACTCTTTGGATGGTCATGTGCTATATAATCCATTTGACCTTCATATGTTAATTTTACTAGGAGAATTGTGCAAATTTGATGTTGTGCTCCATGTAAGAGTTGATGGGATATTTCCATTATTTTTGCTGTATTACCTGTTTCCTTGTTGTTTTAGTGAACTTGCCACCTTCGCTCCAAAAACCAACAGACCTTTCGTCTCAGGCGCATGTGTGGCCAGACTGGGGAAGAGTTTGTGATCTTCTGGGGAATGAAAGAATCCGAGAGTCCCAGTCAAGGACCGAGGAAGGGTTTTGGTATGACGCCAACTTCCCGAGCCAGCACAAAAGCGCTTCCTCTCTTTCCTGTACCTGCGATCCCGCGCGACCCCCGACGCAGAAGCCTCTCTAAAACCCTTCCAGCCTCGGTTTCCGAACCAACTCCAGCTCCGATCCGAGGGTGTCCTAAAAACCGAGGCGCGGAGATGTCCGCCGTTTCCGCGGTCGGTCTGGCCCACCTCAAGACGCAGAGTAATGAATAAGAAGAAGGCGGGAAGCGCTGCCGGACGCTCCAGCTCCAAATGTGGAAGCTCGGAGCTCGAAGGCGGGAGCCGCGCTCTACTGGCGGGACGGCACCTCCTCCAAATTTAGAGGGCCGTCGTCGCGTGAGCGCAATGGGGTCGTCGTGGTGGGCGAGTGCCTCGAGTGGCCGTACTCCCTGTGGTCATGTCCTGCTGTACCAACGTACCTTCCCTGCAGTCGGGGAGCGAGGGAGGGCGGTCGGTCAGTCGGTCAGAGGCCCATGCGCACGATGCATCCGTAGCTCGTTCGATTTGGTCGATTTGGATTTGGATCCGCCTTCGAGAGGCGAGAGATGAGCGACGGCGTTTTCTCGATCGTGTGTTCTGGTCTCTGGCTCGCCCGCTCGCGTTGTTGTTGTTGTGGCTGACTCGTTCATGTTCGAGGTTCGTGTGATTGTGAGCGTCGGGGCGAGGAGGGCGGTGGGGATGAGATGGACCGACCAGCAGTTTTTGAGCGCGTTCTGCTTCTGAATTCAAGAACGTGGATGGCGATTTGTTTCAGGACAAACAGGTGAATGGGGCGAGCCTTCGGATGCGGGTTGTTTTTGGTTTTATTGATGAAAGGGTTGTAAGATTTTAGAAGTTGCATCATTGGCTGTCTGCATTGAACTATCCTTTCATTGTTTCGCGCTGATTACGTGCGTGAGGTTGATCTCTGTCAGCTGCCTTCGCTTCCTGCGTTTCTTATGTTTTCCCCATTACACTTGGAAGAATAATGTTTACAGCAAATGGGTCGGACCTACTGCGTTGCAGATGTCTGTAGATTTCAAATTGTCAGCCTGGCTACGCTGCTTATGATCGGATTAAGGTTGTTCTTGGAATTGTGCATTATTTTCGTGTTTTCCTCATTTAAGGCAATATTAGCTCATCTCAGAACTTTTGGTTCTGAAAATTTTGGCTGCTCAGACGCGTTCCTAAAGAATGTGTGAGGAAGGACAAGACTGTTGATCAGCCATCGTGTATGAGATGGAGACCTCCCCGTGTCTGACAGTCGCGAAGTTGAGTTATTATTAAAAGTGTTTTGTGGAGTGGAATGAATAACTACTTGGCATCTTTCAGTTCCATGATTTTTTATCATTTTTTAATCGTTTTGTTTTGATAAAATCTTACGGAACATGGAATAGCTTGGTATCAAATTATGTAGAATGTGCAGCACCAACTAAACATATCCTGGATTGGCGAGTGTAGTGCTTCATGAACATAATCAAAAAAGATGGAGAGCGTTTCTTGGCAGGTGTTTTTCCCGATTTTAGAGTTCAAATTTACTTCTTCGAAACGATTTTTTTGCGGACTCTATAGGAAAAAGAGGTTGCCAAAGGCCAAAGGCCTTCAACTTGTGAAGTAACCTGCTCTTTTCTGCCAATGTCTTACATTGGGTGAAATATCTCCGGATACATTAACGCTACGTCACTCAATTAGAGAACAATTCATGGAAGACAGCATGTTCGCGGTCTGCCAATGGAACCTTGACTTTTCTGAGCAGCGAAAGTCATTCTCTTTACCCTTGCTCGCGAGCTTATGAAGACCTGGTTTTAAGTAAGGATACATGGTTGAACTTTTGATCTTTGGATGCAGACATGAGGTTTTACTTCCACTGTAAGACTGACTTCACAACAGCTGCCAACCGAGACGAGGCGGGCAGAGTACAGATCCTTTTGCCGCTATGTTAAAGCGTTGCCTTGTAAGCAAACAGGCTGTTTCTAATGTATTCGTCGTGTGAGTGTGTACTATGGTGTGAATCGTCGGAATATTAGAATTGTTGCTTTCTCAGCTGTCACGCTCCTCTCAGATGATTTTCACCTGCTTTCCTCACTCTTCTTCTTTCTCAATCAATAGCACCGAGTGGTTTGTGGTCTTTCAAGTTATGACAGGTACCTCACCGTGAGTACAATTCAAGCTCTCATTGTGGGAAGTGAAGTTCAACCCATGTTCTAAGGTCTTGATAGTGACCCCATGTATGCTGTCCCCTTCTTATGATTCCTTGTTCTTAGCTGAATATGTCTGCCCGGTCTTTCTTTCACAGGAGGTAGATAAGGAGGGACTGGGTGGTGAGAAGAGAGAACACAAGCTGTACATTGGCAACCTCGATCATCGTGTTACTGAGTAAGTAGACCTATACCGGATGTCCATGTCGGAAGGCCTGAAAGTTATCCTGGCGTTGCAAGCATATTGAATGCGTGTAATTTCACAAAACATCTTGGTTGAGGCTCATTATTTGGCAATGGGCTAATCTTCCGTGCAGATACCATGTCATCAAGTTGTTTTCTCCTTTCGGGAAAATAAGGTGCGAGGAGTACATGTGGCACACCCATGGTCCCAAGCGGGGTGAACCCCGAGGTTTTGCGTTCGTGGAGTACAGCAAACGAGAGGTGACAATAATAGAAAACAACAACTATCTCGTTTACTTCGCTACTTCCGATTGTCACGAAAGCCTTTTTCACCGATGTGATTCAAATTTAAGTGTCTTCTTCTTTTATGGAAAGCATATGTGATATCCTAAAGTTTGTTATATGTTTTCATCTAGGACATATCGGGATAATTTCTGATCACCATTATAACAACTACTTTCATACGAAGCAGGATGCAGAGAGGGCTAAAGCAAGCATGAACGGCCGACTCGCTTTTGGTCGACCTCTTGTCGTCAGATTTGTCGATGAGAAGGTAGTGACTCACAACAACGACGTTCCTTCACGAAGTAGTGATGGGTGGTCCTCTGGGACCAACAAGTCATCTAATTCATCAGCACCTTCAGCACTCAGCAGCAGTAAAAGTGCGAAGATTGCTGCCATTCAGAACAAACTGAAGCTTATGGAGAAAGAGGAGTTCCAAGATAATGAATCTGGCCCGAGGAAGATTGCGAAGACAAGCGCTACATCCAGATTACACAGCAGTCGTTCCGTCTAACACTGTTAAATGTAGACCACGTAAAAATCTATAGAGGAGAGTCGTAGATTTCTGTAAATTAATTGATTAATGGGAACAGCGCTTACACAAATAGGCAATTGAATAGGGTAATGTAAGGCATAACATCACCACATTAAATACCGACATGGCAGATGGGCCTGTTTTACGGCTCTTCATCTGTTCCACTCTTCCCTCTTGGGTTTCTGTGTTTGAAAGTTAAGTTCCATCTGCTTCGGCAAGTAAAAATGGCTTGGCTACCGATGGCTTACATTACTTGGTTGATTACTTCAACGCCTGGATGATGATTCTTCTATGTAATTCAGATGGTCAAACAAGTGCAGAAAGTAATGCACATATGGACATGATACTCTCATTTACATCGAAGTCTGACCTGCTATCCAAGGATCGCAGGTACATATCCAGATCTGCACTTTCACCAAAACGGTTTGAAACGAGTGGATCCGTAATCTCGTCGACACCTGCTTCTGGCTCCAAGCCCTTTGAAATATATCTTCTGAACAGTTCAAACCCATGCAAGTTTCAGGAGCCCATCCAGTTGTGTTGATTTCTGGTAGAGAAAACAACGGGAACGGCCCGGACTCGATGGCCTAACCGCAAGCGACTCTCCTTTTACTGTGATCATTCCGAGCGTACTTTGGCTCGACGTACTTGGAAAGGGATCTTTAGTTAGTAAGATGGGAAAATCTTTTCGGGACCGTCTGATCTAAGCAGAGCAACTACAGTACTTGAGTAAGTGGAGGGATATTGAACGAATCTGATACATTCGTCGACTACAAATATTGCTGAAATTGCAAACGAGTCTTTTCGCATCCACTTCTTTTGAGATGATTCAGCCTACCGTGGTAACAGTGAAGAAGTCTAGCAGAGGCTCGTTTAAGAAGTACCGACCTCATGGAAACTGGATCCATAGTATTCGCCCGATGAGATCGACGTTTCCTTGCATGGGACGTATGGGGGGACCCATTTTATTACCATGTAAAAACGATCCTCACTCGACAAACCAGGATTTCTGATCACGCACTATGAGACTCGAAGAAATTCGACCTTAAGATCAGCTGGGCATCAAATTGGTGGAAGCTGCGGCATTGTCTCTTTCTTCAAGACCCAGGTCCGAGAGCCGAAACTTGAACAAGTGGCGCATAGTGTGTCGACAACATGTGCCGTTGATTGGAGCCATACCAAATTGAGGGATCTCCAGGGCATCGATGCTGCGGTTGAGTTATAAGTAGATAGGCATACAGGGGCCAGAAATGAAACTGAGGATGAGAGGCCGGAAATGGCTGAGGGCGCAACTTAGATATTTGCTATTTTGGGCAGGCCTAGAATTGATTCAGGTGATCCCATGTTTGAAGAAGGATCTTTGCTCTGGCGTGGGACCCAACAGCATTCGGGCCTAAGACTCCATCCTCACTCGTACAAGTTGTGCATCTGCGGTCACCTGGTCGCTAATTCTTCTAGTTTTGTTATTGGAAGCTGGATCCGGCACAAGGTTTGGGATTCAGATTCCTCCCTGGTGCACTCGTTCACTCTAGACAGCCATGACTCAGGTGATCGGAGGGAGTCCTATGCGTTTGTGCGCAGCCTCATGGCGTTCGCCTGGCTTCGTCAGCAGGACGCAGACGGTGGTATCAATAAGCGTGCAGAGGAATGTGCGACCTGGACGTCTTGTTACTCGTGCCGTGCAGACCGTACAAGTTGACATCAGCCAGGAGATTAAGGACATTGAAGCTGTGGCCGTGAGGCTGGCTAGAGAGGTTAGCTAACCGCGGTTCGAGATGGACAAATCCTCAATGAAACATGGCTATGTTGGAAAATGCAGTGGTTAGAGACTGTTTACTAAATTAAAATTCGTGGCTTCGACCCAATTTACGTACGATAAAACATGATGCATATGCAGTTCTTACTCCTCCTCAAGCATCAACTTAGATTGGCGAGGAATTTAGCTTTGTTTATTTCATGCGCAAGTCAGTCATGAACAAGAGCTTTGAGCCTTGTCCTTAAGGAGACAGGTGACCATTTTAATCCATTATACTGCACTGTTGTCTGAGCTAGAGAATAAAAGGTAGCATCGCCACACGTCCAATTATTTTATCAATTTAGGGAGCCATCACATCTAAACTTGCGTCCTCCTTCGTGTACAATTTAGTCCATGAAACTGCGATAACTCTGAAGAAAATTCGACGGGGCAAGTGGTTAGTAGCGGACTAATTCAGGCTGGTTCTTTCTTACCTGCAGGCTGGTGCTCTCATTCTGGCCAAGTCGGGTCGAGCTACCCAGGTACAGATTGAAATTACTGTTTTCTCACGCATTTGTAGCGTAATTTTGTAGTTTATTGTTTTATATTATATTGTAAGTACAGAGTACGAACTGTATTGAGTGACGTTATGATTGAGATGAGTTAGCAAGAAATATATGTGATGTGCGCCTGCAGGACTGTGTTTGAAATGGGCAGGTTGATAGAAAAGCGTCTAGATCCGACCTCGTGACAGAGGTGGACAAGGCATGTGAACATTTAATCCAGTCTGAAGTGAAGGTGCGGTTTCCATCCTTTACATTCTAACTTCCGGAAACGTTTCTCACGCTTAAAGCTGTTACCACTATCAATTCTTCAATTTCCAGATCAGCAGATGTCTGGAATTTGCAGTCTCGTACTCACAGCTGTAACCTGCTTTAATCAAAAAATTTCTAGATGCCCGAATGACTGATGTGTTAATGAAAGCAGACGTCCATGGATAACGAATTGAATTGGGATAGCTTTTGAAGAAATACGCCTCCAGTTCTAGTCTGTAAGTCAACACTGCACAGGCAAAAAATAATACTCTTTCAGCTGGTCAACAATGTAACTCATGTCTGTGGTATTTGTGTTCGATGTGTGTAGGCTGTCTTCCCCCAACATCACTGGCTTGGAGAGGAGACGTTCACTGAGGCTCAACTTGACAGGTTAGGAGATGGTCCAAAGGGAGCTGACTACACATGGCTTGTGGATCCCATCGATGGCACATTAAACTTTGTAAGTCATGGGCATATTACATGAACGTCTGGAAGCAAATTCAGTTTACAATAGAGAATACATCTCAGGGATGAACAGTTTGTGATTTTCTACTGCCTTCTTGAAAATGCTAGAGTATGTGGGCCCAAGGGGATCCATTTCCTTTCACGTCTCAAATGATTGTACATGGTGATATTTTGAAAACTGGGTCCTCTAACTGAACTGGATGTGAAGATTGGAGGATTACCATTCGCCTCAGTCTCAATAGCAGTGGCTCGAGGAAGCACTCTTCAAGTTGGAGTAGTGTACAATCCCTTTATTGATGAGCTCTTTACCGCCCGAAAAGGCGAAGGTGAACTCTCTACACATATTCGAGTGTCTTTTGGACAATACAGCAAAACATCTGGCAAGTTTGAAGTCTAGTCTTCTTCCCTAACCTTCGTACGTGTTGTTTCTAGGTGCGTATCTTAATGGCGAGAGTATCTCTGCATTACCTCGTGAAACCGAATTGGAGGATGCAATAGTTACCCTCGGTTTCAATTCTAAGGTCTGTCACATACCTTTACACGAGCTGGAACCCGATGTATATATTGACCTGCTATCCCCCCTGGTTTTGGTCTTGTATTAAATCTTCTTCACATTATGCATGACCTGTAACTAGAGCTCACTTTTACTTTCAGGAGTGGATTGTGAGATGTAGCTGTATTCAGTAAGTAACCAAAGCCCAAGCGACGTATATAATGATTTAACGAAATACTCCCGATGTTACTCGCAGCCTGAAAGGCGCAAACTTATGCTGCAAGAAATTAGCAAAGTTGGCCCTCACTGTCGGGCGATTCGAGCTTTGGGATCTGCTGTAAGTGTTTCCCTTCTCCGTTGACAATTAAACACTTGTCGATGCTCTTCATTTATGGTGGGAAAAAACAAGGCTCCGTTAAGTTCATTCTATACATTGAAATAGTTATGCCAGTACCGCAATCAGACTTTGAGCTGGCGTGAAAACGGTCCAAAGGTTTAACATACAAGTAGCTCTCTTGTGACTGCTGTAATACTGTCCATGAAAATTCGATTGTTGTTTGTGCAGGCGTTGCACATATCCTACATAGCAGCAGGTCGTGTTGGTTGTTTCTTCGAGCATGGTCTAAAGGTGAGATATTATTCTGCAATCTGTTTTTTATCTACTGACCTTCTCTGCGTACGAGACAATTAGCATCGTTTTCTTTCTCTCGATAGGTCATCCAGATCTAGTTCCTCTATCATCTACTCAAGGTCCATTGGGCTGAGTGTGAAGTGTTGAATTCCTCCAACTTTGATTTCTTCTTTCTTTCGTTTTGAGCTTTCCTGACGAATGGTATTCTCTTCTGTGAGCAGCCTTGGGACATCGCAGCTGCGTGGCTGATCCTGGAAGAAGCAGGCGGTTATGTGACCCAAATGAACGGGGAGCCACTTCCCTTAGTTGGAGGCTCGATTCTTGCCACCAATGGAGGAAAAGTCCACGAGCGCATGATAGAAATCTTGAATTAAAAGTATAGCACTCAGTATTCAATCTTCCAAACAAGGAAAAAAGTAGCACATCTCTGCAACTAGATTGTAGAATAGCTGCCAGATCGAAGCGTGGAACGAAAAGACGATACAATCAAGAGAGCTTCGTCCTTTTGATACAGTCTTCAGCCTACAGCGAGGAAATCTCGAATGTAAACTCATTCTTTGATTATATATCAGTAGGGACTTCAGATACTCAAATCAGGAGCCCTCTTCGATAGATGACCAGTTGAAAGAGAGCTACAGCCAATTAGGCTTGAGTAGCGGCTGTACGGGATTGGATATGTTTCTGAAGAGTGGAGACTTTTCTCACGAGTAGTGTGTGTCTGCCATTCCCCTCGAGGACCATAGACCCTGTTAATAAAGAAGAGGAAATTTCATGCTCCGTGCAAAATGCGTGCAAGTTGCGAAGTTCCTCCCACCTTTGCTGGTCGACTGGAACTTGGACGTCAGCGGGTGAAAAGAAGAATTGCGACGGGTTACACATGTCAGACGAATCGTTTAACAATAATTTTTAATACTACATTGTATCTATTACAGGACAATAGAAGTAACGGACGTGGACTTTTTTTCAACCTCGAGAGTATGATCAAGACGAACCTTCATCAATTTCCAATAATTCTAAATGGTTAGGTTGGATCAGATCTGTGTCTCCTCTTCACCAATTGTACGGTAATTCACAGATGAGCAGTCATGCTTATGTTAGTCATTAGACTACATTAACTTGAAATAATCGTGAAAGTTAATTTAGTCTGGTGTTAATTTCTCATAGAAATTTGCTTGATGGTACCACATCAGAACGCTGATTGATTGATGGTACCAGATACGTTCCATTTTACCCAATGGGAACCCTCTAACGGTAACCTTGTAATTGATTTGTTTCCAATTCAATGAAAAAATATTATTTTTTTCCCGATTTTAAGTTAATCAGATTTTCCATGGCTCCCAATCTACATCGTGGAAGAGTCCAATTTCTTGAGTCTCATAATTAATTTACAATTATGATGTATAGGCATAATCTACTTACTACTTACTTTTTTTTCTAAATCTCTTGGTCGAAATCATGTCAGTTGCGTGTTTTGGTCCGTGAAGAGCATTTCACTTTTCAACAAAGAGCCTCAGTGTTTTTCCTAGCCCGGTCCGGTTTGACAGCAATTGCAAGAACTCGCAGTAGAACATCGGTGACGGTGAACTGAATTGCCGTAGTAAGGGTCCCATCGGGTAGAATGGAATTTATTGGATCCCATCAAGCAGTCAACGTTCTGATGGAGTACCATCAAGCAAATTTCTCTAATTTCTCACGAAGAAACTCTTCCATATGTCACGCATGGCAAGGCAACTCGGGGTGGAGACTAGGGTTATGTATAATACTCAGTATCAAACTTTGATGAGTTTAATATTGTATTATACTGAATTAAACTCAATTAAGTGTGTATAGTAATCTAACGGATGAGATATAATGGATATCCGTTAAATCCTCTAAGGTTGACACGTGTCTACCCACACGAAACTTCACTGCAGCTCCGAATTAACACAATCGAAGAACATCAAAGTGCACCGAAGTACATCGAAGTGCACTATGAAAATTGAGCGAAATTCACACTGTGTCAGTCAATCTGCATTAGACATTGAAAATCGACTCTGCGTAGTAACAACTTCCGACAGTATCGAAGTGCAGCGAAGTCAGAAACTCGAAGGGAACCAAAGCAAATTTCAGCGACTGATTTCAATAACGCACTAGATAAAGGTATGAAAAATTGCTGTCGTAGAATGAAAAGGACTTAGAACTGCTGTCGACGACTTTAGTGTCTCTGGGTGAACATTTAATATCGAACCTTATGGTTCTTGTTATATTCCAGTTAGGCGTGAATTTGAGGTAATGGTTTTCTAGTATAGTTTAGGAAACACTTCAGCCTTCAGGCACCGAGGCATGTGAAGAGAAACCTTTGAAAGAGCCTCGCGTATTGATCCACATATATTAGCAAACTGTGTGACGAAATCTCACTATCTTCGAGAAGAAACCATTGATGTATTCCCTCATCATCGAGCTATAGACAAGTTACTCTCGGCAACTACTTTCGAAGACATCCACGATCATGGCGTCACAGCAATGCACGTGGCGCAGCGCGAAAAAAATTATTCGGTCTTTTGAAAATTCAATTCGATTTAATACAATAAAATACAGATGGACTTATGAAGCCCAGCATTATATTGTATAATACTATGTGTATAATAATCTAGTTTAATCGATACAGATCACTAGTGGAGACCTAAGATAAGAGTGCCAACATAATTTACTCTTTTGCAGTACAAAGTAACTTGTTTATATGTGAGAAAAAATTACATCTCTAATCATAAACAATCTCAATAGAGAGTTACCGTCAAAGCCATGCTGATTGTTAGAGATGCAATTAGTATCTGTTATTAAAAAAGGAGTGAAATGATTTTAGTGTATATACACCCAACACACATCCACGCAGTGGCATTTCTTGGGTTTAAACTGCATGGATGTGTGTTGGATGTATATACACTAAAATCAATATCACCTTATAAAAGTTCTCCGTAAGAGAGCAATGTAACTTAGGGTTTAGGGTTTCTACTACTTTCATTTTGCACTAATGCGGCTAGTATCTACTCCCGAAGATGACAAAAACCATTTCGGTTCGTGAATTTATCACTAGTCAAGCAAACTTCAATTGTTTTTTAACCAGATATCCGTCTCCTTGAAATTTAGTAGATTTTCCAAGAAGAGAGAGCTTGATCCTTGTACTCTTCAAACACTATAAATAGGCTTAAAATATTTTGACAAAAACCAAGGGTAATAAATGAATAATGATGCACAATGAACATGAACAATATAAAGATGTGGTCTTGGTGTAAGTTGACAAAACCTTGGATGTATGGGATATGATAGTGGAGTGTGAATGCCAAAGACACACTACGTGTCTTTGATGAATAAGATAACACCCGATTCAGATTAGTTAAATGGGGAAAGGCATACTATATTAAAATTAATTTAGTGGCCAAAGGCAGAGAACATTTAGGTAATTTAGCGGTGGGCCATAAGGTTGAGTGAATTAAGCATGCTTGCAGATGAGTGAATATCATTAGAGGTTTTGGAATGTTCGCTAGTATGTTACCATTAAGTCTTGATACGTGTACCCTTCTTCTACGCATAGTACCATAAATATTTCATGAGGCTCCCCTATGCTGTAAATTTTAGATATTACAGTCTTGTGGATCATAATATTAGTAGTTTCACGACGTTATTCTCGATAGTTGTGTTGATTGTGAAAGAAAAGTTTTCGTTGACAAAAAATAATGTGATGATCAGCTTTATGGGGTAATGAACAATCTTAAAAATATCCGAGGTAGTGCTTTTGATGATGCTTTATTATCCATGAATAGTTTCATTCCTTAAGTTAACTATAATATTAGATAGTAGTATAGTCATCTTGTAAGATGTCTCTCACTTTTAACATATAATTTGTCAATATCAATTTGAAGTCTTCACATCATTTTAGAATCGTCACATCAAGAGATTTAACATGATTACAGAAACCCTTCAATCTAGTGTGAAAGTAGAGTCTTATATTTGATAGAGGAAATGACATCTATAGCGTTAGGGCTACTTTATATTTTCAAGATCTTTAACATCCTTCAAATTTGTGATTGAAAATGAAACCATATTTAAGATGTATGCAAATTACATGAAGAAGATAAGATGAATTTTTTTTCCTAACAAATGATGTCTCATTCACCATCTTGTTATACCATGAACTTCTATTGTTGTTAATAAATAAAACATTTGTTAAAATTTGTTTATATTGACAATATAAGAAAAAGCATAATCAATTAAATGATATATACTCCAACGATCTGCAATATGATACTTAATAAATTGTAAACGATACTTTTTACATATTTTTTTATCTATGTAGTATCATTTTTTAAAAATAATTCATTTTTTTGAATAATTAGTTATAAAAATAATATATGTAATGTTTAATAAGAAATTGCATTAAATATGAGATCAATATGATAACATGCATTACTTTCTCAAATTTTTTTAAAAATATTTTATGTAGTCATCTTTAGTCTAAAAATATCAAACTAATAAATGATTAAGATATAGAATTGTGAATTATATGATAGGAGATCATTTATAAATATCACTTCAAAAATGTGTATTATTGATGAATGACTATCATAATAAGTTAAATTATAATATAATTGCAAGCAACATGATAGCAATCTGTGTGCTCATTATTATTTTGATGATGCTATTTTAGTCTTTTATATTTTAAAAATTTTATGATTAAGAATATATAGTAATATATATTAAGAAAATATGAAGCCAATTTAATATTCAAATTTTGAATTTCTATATCTATTTTTTTAGTTTTACAATGAATTTTAACTTTTATTAGAATATTGCATATTTTAGATTTTTCATAACATAAATAAAGTCCAGAGTTTAGATATTATATAGATATATATATATATAAGTAAATAAATATATAGCATTAGCTTGAGTCAAAGAATTTTAAAATTAGGAATAAATTTCATTTTTTAACATTAATATAGTATTTTTATTATAGTAATCAAACAATAAAGTATGGCAATGTGTAGATCTGTGTTTATCATAATAACCTTGTATCTAAATTTTACACTACAGTTGTTACAAGATTTCAAAATATAAAAGAATGATTTACAAAAAACATTAATAAGAAAATTAAAAATGTTTTAATCGCTATGTCAACAACTATAATCTTATAAATAAATATTTTTTATAAAAAATAAAGATATTGTGATAAACTGAAGTTGGAAATACATGTAAAGTGAATTAATTATTTTGTAATAAACCATTTTTAAGATAACTTTTTTAAATATATAAATATGTACGACCAAATTTAAATAATTTGGATATATACACTTTATTTTCAAAATGAATCGAAAAATATTTCAAAAATCTAAAGTTTTATATTCAAAAAAAATCTAGTGTAATAAATTATAATGATATATAAATTTGCTTCAAGTTGCATTAAAAAAATTGACTCACAACTATTGAGAATGTATTGCATAAGATAAATCTTAATTGGGCAAAAAAAATTTGGAAAAAAATTTTTATATCATATTATCATTGTATGTTCTTATTCATTTGATCACATAAACAATTGATAATATAAATTCTAAAAATACATTTTTTATCATTTTATTTTGATATTTTAGATCTAACAAAAGTCTAACACGATTTCTGTTGGACACATAACAATTATTTCAACTTTCAAGATCAATTCAATCCAAACATGTGGTTTTTTAAACATAATAACATATGTTTTGAATAATTTATTCAGAGGCGATGTTTCACAAGATGATAGATCAAGAGACTATTATATCATAAGACACACTTAGTACATCATAACTTATGGCCTTTCTTAGTCAACATGATAAGGTTGAAGCCACCAATTCAGCAAGACATGGAATTATATTCTATACATCATATTTTGTAGCCTATCTTAGTCAGTATATATTCATTGCTATATGTAGAAGTAGACTCTCAAGCAGTTCACAAGTGAGGAGTCACTTTACATGATGATTCTTTACATTGCAAATTTATATAGAGAAATTTTGACCTAAATGGTTACGATATCTAAGCGGATTAGAATATCTGTGAGACCTAGCTTCAACCTAAATCTTTGGAGTCATCATTCTAATACTTGATATGATCTTCTTGCCTTTTCGGATACAGTAATTTGGAGTGCAGGTGCTGAGTATGTTACAAAATATCCAAATGAGTTAACAAGAATTAGATATTAGCGAGAAACATTAGAATTAGGAACTTCACAAATCTTGTTCAGAAAACACTCTCATCCTTCGTGCCTTCACACCAAATAATCTAAACCTTCAAATGAGGTAGTAATTTCAGATGCAACTTGACAGGTAATACAAATTCCCCAACATTGCATGCCATAAGTTTATCGCATGGGAATGATACTCTTCATTACAGTGACTGACAACAACTTTTGTCAAATAAAGATCACGAGTTCCACGAGGACTCTCAATACCAATGGCAGTTCTGATAGCACTGCTGCTCGGCCTCTCAGCATTGCAACTGCCAGTGGTCTATCTCCAAGACGAACCCTTTGCTAGATGGATGTAGGTGGATCTAGAGGTGCTTTTGGGACATTAATGGAAGTGCAGGGTCAAAAGATATAGGCTGACAAAGGACACATGTCACATTGCTAAAAAGCGACTTCCCATCATGATCCCCCATCAATGACCTGTTTGAATTACACGAGGAGAATTCATCTTGGGTATGCTGTAGGGAAGAGACGGAGGAACAATTTTCCATATCAGCATCCACAAAAAGGTCGAGAAGTCGTGATCGCCCTCCACAATTTGCAACCGAAAGTATAGAGTAGTTGAAAAGTTATTGAACAGGAAGTCTGCTCACATTTCAAGAGGCATGCGCACCTTTCGTGGAATATTGTGGAATGTGTCGGATGATGGCATTTTCAACGGCAGCAAAATCGATGGAACTTCATTGCCTCCTTAGGAAGAACTTAACTTTTTAGGCTCAGTCAATCTTGAATTTTGGTTCTGGATGGGGTGTCTTCACCTTTCTTCTCCACGAAAGAAATTGGGAGTAGAAAATGCTATAGATTTGAATTCTAATCATTTGAAAGTACCTTGAAAGAGGACTACGAAACTTAGAGGTCAACACGTAGCTTCATTCTCGTAGAAACTCAATGAAAAAATTAACTAATTTCACGTAGATCTGTGACAGAAGAATCAAAGAAGGAACTAAAGGCGAAATCATATATTTGACATGATCTCTCCTGATTATGTTGGACGTACCTCACCTTTTCCCTTTAGTACAGTAAATTGTGTAATGCGCCAACACAGAAAAATATGGTTTTTCAATCTAATTTTGATGTGTATTATAGTAAAATGATTACTTTCTTTCGTTTTGAGCTTTTAGCGCTGTAGTTTTAAATATTCCAGAGTCATCCATTCTCATTGAGGAGGCAAGTAAAAGGACCGGTCATGATATATTGCAGTGTGATCAACGCAAAATAAAATATTCGCTAATTTCTGGACCACTTCGTTTTAAGTTTCTGAACTCAAGTCGAGATGCTCTGTTCCGAAATACCAAAACTTGTAAATCGCGTTCCACACATTTTCACTTCAAGTTCCTCATTTGCACAAACTGCAATTATTTTCCCAATCCCAAAGAACTTTGAACATTGTACAACAGTGTGTTATAAGTATCTATATATATATTATAGCCTATCATTAATATATATAATTTACAGGTGTTGACAATATACAGACTAAGTCATAGTCTCCCAATCGTTCCGTTCCGTTTCTTATCCAATAAACCAAAAGTTTCATAAGCAAGTAAACGAGAGCCAAGTGGATAACAAACAGCAAAAGGATGAGAACACCCAATGTGACACTTTTGACACTTTTTGGTTTCCATCTTGCAAACCTTTTTGGACTCTTGAAAGATTCAACGTGACTGTCGTGGTTCGCCGTATGTTCGTTCGTTCGTCTAGCTCATATTAATAAAGCGCATCTACTCGAGCCTCCTCATCCCGTGCAAACATTTGCTGTTCTCGTTGTCGACCAAGCTCATCGACGATCAGTTGCACCGGCCCAAGAATGAAGTCTTCTACCAGCTCGGTGCTCGTGCTGCTGGTCGTAATTTTGGGCCTGAGCACAGCGCCGAATGTGGAGTCGAGTCACGATGATCGGCCTCAGAAACTGACAGTGTATGTATTTCGGAAGTATAATGTACCAAACACCACGATTCAGTACATATACCCGGATCTCGTCCCGCCGCAGCCATTCCCCATTGGAGGAGCTTCAGTATCCGTAGAAGATAGTATTGTCAGGAAGACGGCGTCTAATACATCAGAACAGCTCGGTACCTCACGGCTCATCCAGTCTGTGGGGTTCAGGGAAACAGATTATTTCAGGTCTCAGGGGATAGGGCTTCTGGATCTGAATACCACGAATTACGTCGGTACGATTTCGTTTTCCGGTATCGTAAGTATCGGTGTGTTCACACCCCCTATCGAGGAACTATCCATCACCGGTGGCACGGGAGCTTTTCGAATGGCCAGAGGTTACATTCTCACTTCTACTGTCTTTGCCGACTTTCAAGTTGAGATCATTCAGACAGTGAAATACGATATATCCCTGTTCTATGATTAAACCCTGAATTGATGACGCAATTCTACATTGACAATTCTGTGTTCTTGAGATATTCGTTCACTAGCTCAGTCGGAACGGCTGACTGGAATAATCCGAAACGAGCCCAGATTTCGTGGAGGAAGTTGCCTGAATAATTCTAATGTGCCGATACTCGGCCCGGATCATGTTGTAAATCTCACTTTGAGTTATATATTTTTAAGCCCTGGTGTTAGTGTTTTGTGTTTAAAATGAAATCTGAGATGATGGAAAGACACGTCTTCCTCTGCAGATTGACTTCTGATCAGAACTTCATCAAGTAGCAATTCTATTGTTAGCGGTGTGTTCATCCTGCACGAGAATCCCTTCCATGCTCTGCATCTGTAGCTCCCCCGATGCAGCTATTGCTCTCTTCACTTACACACGATATCGTTGCACTTGCAAATCAAATGAAGCACGAAGACTGTATGATCGAGTGATGCTTCGTACACATGGACAGCTCAACAGCGATTCAAAGGGAAAAGATCTTCCCTCGAGTTCTGAAGAACGGGTTCTTATTGTTAATTCAAGCATGTGTTGAATCGTTAGCTATGCCCAAAGGAATGCTCAATATCTTGCCGTAAACGCACGCAGTTGGATTATTCGGTTTCACATTATCCTAATTCTATCACCAAAGTAAATGGATAATATTGTAGGGAATTGACCGCACCATCTGATGTCATGTGGATCCAGGTCGGAATGGAATTCTCAGGTACTGTAGTATGTTTTTATATAATTGGCAACTTACAGAAAATGGTACAGTTCAATGTTCATGTGCCTAAATTAGACTTATGAAGTGCATGAACAACATGGCATGCCATTACCTCTTCCATGTGCACACAAGGGAAACCAGCCAAAGAGAATACGTATTTTAATCTGCTTATGTTTAATATTATCGTTTAAACTATTGCTAAAAGGAAAAGAAATGAGTGCACAGACAAACATGCACCTTGAGAATATCCATGACAAATTCCACAAGTTTGTGGTTTCATCGTCTAAGAAGAGAATATTGATAATGAAGCATGTATCATAAGACAAGGAAATATTATGATTCTCAAAATCGTCCAAAAAAAGTATGTATCTTCGAGCTTCATGGTGTCTAACAATACAATTTTTTTCTGGTATAACTTGGTTTTCCAGTATCATGAAAAAAAGTTGAGTTTTAATACACGATTTGCAGTCTTGAACATGGTACAATATGCTCCTTAGCATTAATGTAAATGAATTTCAAGAATTGTCTCTGGTAGATGGGACTTCTTCTTGTAGTTGAAGATTGATATGACTATAAGATGGATTATGATGATTTTTCATGGAATAATGATTGTGTGATAAAGTAGTTTTTCATTATTTTTTTAAAAGATTAAGTTTGAGAAGTAGAAGATTAGTAATTTCAAACTTTTAGTATAGGAATAGTAAGAAGTAGAGTAAATAGTGGATTCGATAGTAGATGAAAAGTGAGTAGTAGTGGAATTCATTTAGATACCTTTAGGTTGGAGTTAATATTTTTATTTGCTGTCAGTAAAGTTGAATAAGATGTATAATGATCTGATAAAGTAAATATCTCATAAATTTTTCAATTAGTGGCGACTTGATTTAGGAAGTATCTTGATAGATAGAGCTCGGCATGCTAGTTTCAACGAGCCCAAGAATTCGTGAAATAGATAAGGGTTCACAAATTATGGATGTTGTGAGTGGTTGGTATGGATCAAAGAAGTAACTTTGATCATAGCGTCTTCGGCCGTAACAACTTCGGCCTTAGACATCCTCTACTTTGAAGAAGAAGGGTCTTCGGATTGATATTTGAATTGTGAAGAAGTACAAGGAAGTAATTTGGTACAAATTGGAATTGTCTCATAAGAGATTTGAGAGTAAATTCAAGCTTGTGGTGGAGTTGGAGCATCAAGTGAAGGAATTGGAAGCGAGCGGAGTCGCATGACATCGGTTGTTAGGGAGGAAGCTCAGTTCGCTCATCTCCGGTTTGGAGAAGACAAAGGAGAATTTAGAATTGGAACTTTCAGCCGTTTTGGGTTGGATAGGAGTAAGATATGAGCTCAACGGGCGTGACAACTGCCGTTACACTTGATGGAGGCTCGTAGTTCAGCGGAGGATGACTCCGGGTGTTCGTTGTGAATAAGTAGGCTCAAGACTCAGACTTCAGAGGGCTTTTCCATTAGTTAACTTCTCAATCTTCAAACTGCATTTCTCCACGCGTTTGTGAATTTGTGCGTTTTGTCACCGTATGCAAGTTGTTTCAGTTTGTCAAAGATACTTCATATGAAGTAGAGAGTCCAATTCAGATGTTCTGAGTGGTGCATAATGTGGCTCAAGATTTAACCAAATCTTTACATTGGAAATTCGGTGCAGCCGGGTGAGTGTGTAATCTTGGAAAATTTCTCCCCTAAATATCAATTGCAGAGTCACGTGAGGCTACTGTGGGGATTTATTGGATCAGTTTTAGGATGTGAGTGTGATTTCACCCTGCATTGTGTCGCTTTCAGCTTTAGCAATTGCAGTTTCTTTTGGGAGTGACATATACCTAAGAAATAAAACTTTTCAATAAAATGTTAACTTGTGACACTTCTTGATTCTCTAGTGTTGATTTTATACTCGTGGTATCGGATCTTTACCATTATATTCCATTTTGGTAATTGTCTGTTGTTACAAATTCTATCATGGATCATATGGTTGAATTCTGAAATTACTCAAAGGAGAATAAAATTATACTTTGTGAACAGAGTTGCATATAGATGCATGGTTTTACTCCATTGAAGTTGTATTGTGGTTTATAAGCCAAAGCTTGTTTTGAATATATTTCAAAATCAAAACATATTTCATACAAGAATATTTTGGGTGTGCATATTCTGTTTTCTTTTAACCAACATTACATCTGCAGCATGGACTTGGTCCTCTAAATCATGTGTTCATTATTAATAAGCTTGACACAAACCGTAAGTTGAAAGTAGATCTTGAAATATTGTTCTCCGCTATGGTAAAAAAGTCCTCAACTTTCGTTTATTTTCAATTCTACAATTCTAAGAATAATGTTTCCTCATGGTCTAGACTTTTCTTCAACTTTGACCACCTAATTGAAGGACAAATTAAATATTGCAACTAGAACATGGATGGTGCCAAATACCAACCATTGTCAGTGAATTGCGTTATAGTAATATCGTAACTGTATCTCTGTTACAGTGATCGACTAGAAACGTCATGGGCTCGCTCCATCACTTGCAGCAGCAAAGCATTTCCTCAAGCTCTAAACTCCTCCCATTTCCAGCCCTCATACTTTCTAATTTGGGAAGAGGAGAGATTCGATGTCCAAGCAAATGCTCAGACATCGTACTCAGAAATCTCTCCGTGAGCCCATCAAGCAAGGAAAGAAAATCCTCTGCTCGAGGATTTTCTCTGTACTTTCCAGTCGTGGTGTCCTTGATCAGCCGACTTGATTATTCTCGTTCAGAGCTTAGAACAAGTTACCTCGATCACACGGTCAGACATTCGTACGCACATGGGGCTGGCTGGGTCATTATACCCCTTCCTTCAATTATTTCCTGACTGTCTGGGCTATGATTTACTCTGTTTTAGTGTGGACTCCCTGTTTGTCGATCTTGCTCATTACTTGTTTAATCCCAAAGGACCAATTGCTCACGAATTCGCACAAAAACTGAAACATTATATGGTCAAGAAAAGTATCTTATATCTAAAAAAAAAAATCAACATTTTAGTGTTATAAAAAGAATTTGTTATGTTAAGACATTTATGTTATTATTTAATTTTATTGTCCATAATACATTGAATCAGGGAAATATTGTGACTGTCACAGGAATGTAAGTTGGACGAAGTGCCTAAGTCATTGTGGTTGGTATTCATAACTCAGGCAAGTAGGCATCGCTAGTGATACCCTGTCCTTGGTTGGGACTGCCGCAAGCACTTCCAGTGACCACCAGGTACCTTCTATATCATTGACTTACGAAATCAACTTTCCAAACCTGGAAGAAGACCAAGTCTGGATTTCATTTCTAGTCACTTTGATTAAATCTTGCTTCAAACAGTCAGAAAGATCCTTCCTGAATAGTCTGAGATTCATGTCTTGCATTTACTGACGAGGCAGGCATTATTCATGAGTCCCTCTAGCTCCACAAAAGCGACCACATCTTCGTCTTGCATGATCCTAGACGATCACCCGAGTCAAGAACGATGTACATCATGCTCTTCCACGGGCTGCAGGTGGAGCAAAAGTGTGATGCTCATGTGGACACTTGGAGAAGAGGAGATGGTTCGGGGCAGATCTGGCCACACTCTCGGCTTCCAGAAGAGCTTCCTAGTTCACGAATAATGACCATTTCATAAGATGCCTCCTTGTAGCAAAGAATGGGCCTCCTATTAACTGGAGAAGGTCCGATGGAGTATGTATTTTTGGCATGCAAAGTCGTGGCCAGATTCATTGTCCGCTGGCACTCGTTGCACAATGTTTTATGAGCATTGTCATCGACCAATTGTGAGTGTGGGTCAAGAGCAGTCATAAATGAAGCTTCTATTGTTGAGAATGTCGATAGCATCAGTTTTCTTCACAGCATAGGCTGTATTTTTATTGTTTACAACAACACATCGAGGTGTAGGTGAGATCTCGAAGATCGTCAGTGCAGAAAACGAGGGTCCAACTGTGGAGCTGGTGAAGGTTTTAAGCTCCGAGTCAACTAGACTCGGCGGAGACTGAGTCCAGCACATACGAGGATCAGAACATGGATGGAAAGATCTCTCATCATGTGTTTGGGCGATAATGAAGGTATCACAATGTACGAACACCTTGGGGAAATGGGTCATAGAGAAACAAAATTACTCAAAATAGTTTGCCACCAAATGATAACTCATTTGTTCTGTTTATTCACTAGAACTATCAAGTAAAGTATCATACATCATATTTTGTAGAGCTTTATATTATAGCTCTACAAAGACAAACAATCGTGATGTATGATAAATGTATATTATTTCATTTTTTGAACTCTATAACGTTGATGTTTTAGATATTATACTACATCTTTATTGTTTTGAATTTTATATTTTCATCTACTCGGCTGACTAATAAATTTCATATATAGAATAATAATTTTGTGGATATTTGCAAATAGTAGTTTTTATATAGAAGAATGTTGAGGCGAACCTCGAAACTTTATGGATTCGAGGTCGAACCTGATCATGAACGGAACAGACGATATCGAAGTGGACTGAACCTGTATTTTGACGATGTAGTAAGTTCAGAGCGAAACTATCCACCCAATACACATGCCTGTGAATAATATTTCCACAGGATCTGGTGGAAGGTGGTTCAAGAAACTATAATGCATTGGTACGTGCTTTAGGGACTCAGCGTCTTGAAAGTGGTGACACTGCACGAGTGCCAGCGACTCGCTACGTGGAGACACGTACAGATCAGTCTCGGATTTGTACTTGGGAACAGTCTTGCCCAACTCGTCTTGTAATGCTTCACTGGACATTAACAGACCAACTCGAACTTTACCATTGAATGCTACGGCATGTACAAGTCTTGTGGTCCAAGTCTTCATTTTGATCCGTAGGGAGTGAGTCTTTTCTTCCTCTATATATATTCATATTTTGGGATATGGGATACCTTCCCAGACTTGGAGTACCGTAGTTTTGAGACCACGGGGACCTAGGGCTTCCACAGGTGGAACCTGGACAGATGCAAAGAATGCGCCCAAGTACGATGAATCAGTGCTATTCTGTGTCGTTCCTCCGTAATTTCGGACGACTTTCAACTCGAGAGGATTAGATACATGGAAATAATTACAGGATTAAAAAAAAATATTACATTAGAATTCTTTGTCTGGAAAGTCCGATATTTTCGACTTAAAATATCGGAATTTCCAGGTTCTCTTTTCTCATCATATTCCTATAGATAATATCCATCCGCAACAAAGAAATTCAGAAAAAAAAAATAGATTTTTCTCACAAGGTTTTCCTCATATGTGTTTTGTGTGTACTCCGCCCGAGAGAGAGATGTTGATGAAAATGAAAGAATGAGGAAAATCAGAAAAAAGCAGCGCACCGGATGGGCAGGATCTGTCCACAATTCGAGCAGGACCTCATCGTGAAGGTTGATTGGTCAGTAACCAGAACAAGAGATAAGTCATCGGTTTCTGGTATGGAGTGCTCTCCACTCATCACTCTGATTTGTGAGATGGATTGTTGGACACAGACTTCCGTAAACAGTGTGGTTCTTACACTGTCGGTCCAAAGATTTGTAGTCAACAGACTCACTTGGTGTAAATCACACTAGTGGACACGCATCACGGTTGAACCCTTAATAGAAGGTGAAAAGAAGTCACTATTCTTAAATTCACACTTGATTAATATGGATTCTTGAGACTTAGGAATTGATGAGAGCTTTTTTAATCAAGATATACAATAAATATATAGATAACATAGTTACAACCTTGCTACAGGACCTTTTAGAAAATATGGAGTATTCTTCAGGGAACAGGTTGCACACAACAACCCATTTACTGACATTCTTATAACTTGACATATAATCTATATGTTAATAACACTAAAAAATACTGCATACAGTCTTTTCTCCTGGATTGAATCAGTTAGCACATGGTTGAGGTCTTCTGTCTACCCTATGATTTCTATGGGGCACAATCAGTCTCTTGAACTATACCTCATCACAGCTCTTTACCAAATTGGCATATGAACCACACTATATTGATGGCCATAGATAAACTAGCACGGATGCATGTCCTAACTTTCACTCAAAAGCAAGTCCATTTGAATCCACCCGAATGGTGCTTGCTCTTTTCTCAAAGTTTGCAGCCAGGTTAGATGAGACTTTTTACCGGGTTTTTCATCAGTATCAATCTTGAACTATTCCTGATCAAGATGATCTTTTGTACTTGTTTCAACTATTCTTCACAATCACCATATCCTTAATCTTTAATATACAACTACTGTACCACCACAATGCTAAATGCATTACTGGACTAGAGCCAATATTTTAGTGGCAATGAGAAACTAATTTATTCATGGAGTTTTGTTCTGCATAGTGTGTATCGCAAAACTTGTCACAACAATGATAGTATTTATCCCCCTGATCTTTAATAGTTTGCACATGTCCTTCGTGCAACAATCTTCCCACGCTTTATTGTTATAAAAACATCCCGTTGATGTATACTAGCATATACTAAGAATATTCTCTCTTTCATCACTGGTCTCTGGATATTATATTTGATGTTCTTGTTGTACTGCATATGAGACACTTTGGTTTGAAAATCCATCTTCTTATACAAGAGACCAAAGATATAAAACCCAGTAAATGATAAAAACTCACCTCTTATTGAAGACATATGTTCCCATTATTGCGAAATTTGAGATCTGTAAAGACCACCAACACGTAACGATTTCTTTTTGACCCGAAATACACGGTAAGTAACTTCAGATTTCGCAAATTTACTAGTACATACAAGACCAGTAAATATACTTACTACATGATTTTATTTATCTTTACTTAGTTACGTTTTTTCTTTTTAGTAAATTATATTCAAGACAGAATTTTTGGTAACTTTGTACGCACACATTTATTAAATACTTATTCGTATAAATCTAACCAATTTAGATTTCAAGTCATACAAACATTCCATCCGTATGATATTTTCACAGTTCATTATATATCATGATGAGGAACTATCCCATACTTTCAAAAAGTGGGGAAGTATATGAATTCCTACTACATTTGAGTAAATGACAAAGTCACCCTTGACAAATTTTTGACGTGAATCTCGTGAAACTGCATTAGGTGATAAACTCTTGCACATCGAAGAACCAAGTATGGATGATGGCCATGTCACTATTGGTGTGACGAGCTGGAAGCATTGCAACGGCAATCTTTCTTGGGGATCACGGAAATGGGCAGAGTTGGACGGACCACTTTGGTGTCACCGGTCTTCTTTCTGGGTCATGTGCTCACATTCTGGTGTTCTTGACTCGGTGGGGATTAGGTCAAGAGGAGATGTTGTCGAGGAGATTACTCATCGAAGGACTGTGGAGCTACGAAGTTGACACAATTGAGGGGGCGAAGACTATCTTCAGTGTTTGACGATGTCCGAAGGAAGGAAGGATGGAAGGGGTCGACCACGATGGTCTTCTGGCAAAGATAGCAGCCCAAAATGAGGAGCTAACATGTCATCTTACTTCGCAGTAGTGCTCACGATCTCATCGGATTTGCATCAATTTGGTTCCACTTATGACGAAAGAAGATGCGAGTAAGCAATCCCAACTAGTAAACTTGGTCCGGAACTTTTCCTGAGCATCGTAGAAGAGGTGGGATACGGGAATGCTATTGGCTGTAAAAGTGCTGGGCAAACGCTTGAGATATATCCAAGATACGCAGAAGATGATATTTCTTTGTTTGTTAGTTTAAACTAGAGTGAGTTCAAACAGTAAATTTCCTTTTCCATTTCAAAAAATTTGTTTTGACCACGTCTAATGCTGATATTTACATTTTGCTTGAATATACTGCGTTCCACTGATATTTAAAGAATACAATCTGTTTCACTTCATACGCAAACATAGGCTCCATAATTTTCTGAGGATTGCTGTTCACTTACGCCATGTTGTTTTGTCATAGCTGTCAAACTTTCATATGCTACACGATGAATTATAAGTTATCCTACTGTCTCTATGTCGTAAATTGCATTTCTCCTAGATGCTCCTCAGTGTATTGTCAGGGCAGGTTGAGTTTACTTGCCGAGTGTGGACTGTAGAGAGGAACGATCATTGCAAACATCCGTTGCAGGAATATTCACATTAACATCAAAAAATATTTTTTATTGTTAGCAATTATCTCCAAAAGTTTAAGAATTGACATGTCACTATTAAAACTGTCATTCGTGAAGAATAAGGATCTTGTGTTTGAATATTTCAAAGAAGTTTTAATGTTGAACAGAGCTTTTTCTACTCGTCGATCAGTCTCAAGGATAACCGCTTGTGTTTTAAGTTCACGAATATATTTTACAAAACCATTACTCATCTGACATACAGAACTCACATTTCTCTTTCTAAGCCCTCTTGTAAGAAACTTTCCGCTACGGGAAACAACGGCAAGTGTTCGAACAGATTAAAAGTGGTTATAACACAAATTCCATGGCATCAAGTTCTATATCATCCATCAAATTGGACAAGCAAATATGTAACGGCATACATGTATATCGAGTAGAAGCGAATACACACAAGGGCTTATTAAGAACTTGTCCAACACCCAAACTCGGGCTGTAACTGAACTATCATTAAAGTGAACCTGTACAGTGTATCTAAGGGATTGAAACGGTCCCGGTTCTAATTAACGAACACGAGAAACATCTGGGCTTTGCCCAAGAAGATCCGTGACCGCCACTAAATACCTACAGGCCTAGATTCTTCAAAAATCTAACATCATCCCTTGAGGCGAGAAGATTTCGCTGAGGTATGTTATACACATCACTCTGTACCGTAGCTGAAAACTCTGTTCCTGGTCAGTGAGAATCGCCTCACAGATACTCTTGAAGCGCGTCTAGCCAAGGGGAAGTAAAAGCTGCAGCTTTGCTTGCAGGTTACATCTGAAGTCTGAAATGGTATTGTACAAAACTCATCACAAATGCCTCCACTGAAGTGAAGGCATCACATGATCTGCCTGTTGTGTCAGCTTTCCCCGATTCCAAAACTCTCTTGCTTCGTAGTTGGACCCACTTGCTTAGCCCACGCTCTTGGCCGGTGGTAAGAAAGCAGGTAACATGCATGGAAATGACACGAGCATTTCCACATGCACGGCTCAGGCAGGAAATCGCCTCCTGTTCTGCAGACATGCGTCTCGAAGCGTAAGCCCGATTGCTAGCCGCTCAATGTTAGAAATCCAAAATGGGGGTAATGGAGCCTCAAGTAAAGTCAGCAGTAAACAAACTTCACAAACCATACACTGACCCGGTGTATGGAACATGAAAGGTGTTTGCTCTTGGTGCCGGAGTGTCAGGGAGCACACCCTCTGTAACCTGCAATCACACCTTGACTGCAACAGGCATATGCGGCCATTAGCTCAGTGTCAACGGCAGACACAAGGCAAGGAGCCTAGACAAGATGCATATTGACAGTTAGCGAGTGAACATCATTCACAGGGGGTCAAAACTGCACATCGGCACCAACATGCAGCCAGCCAATAAACAATGATTAGGCAGCACATGAACCATCTCCCAAACTCTCGTCAGTGACTGCAGCTCCTGATCCAGTCCTGTCGTTCGTCAGCCTCTTCCGCAGCTCTGTTAACTCCTCCAAAGTGGCCCACAGCTGTTGGTGCAAAGACATGTTGACCTCCTCCAAGTAATGGATGTGATTTTCCTGTTCTTCCACCTTGGCGACCAAACTTTGAGTACTGGCGTTGGTTCGAGATGGTAGACTGCTGTTGTTACTGCTCAAGAGCTCAAAGCGCTGCAGGCAGTGGTCAATTCGCTCCTCCACTTGCTGCACGCTACTTGCTGGTTGGAAACTGCACTGGTCTGTGTCGCTCTCGTTGCAAGATACAGAGCCAAGGTCTCTATCTCCCTCAAAGTCCATGTCATCTGCATCGGCTTTCAAACGGATGCAGCCATTCATTGAGCCGTAGGCATTGACTCCAAGGTCGCTTGCTACCTGGCCGTCTCCGAGGATCTCCTTCTGCCAGGGTACGGAAGAGACTGTAGGAGTCCCCGCCGTTGTCGGGCAGACAGGGGTATAGATGGGAGCTTTGATTCCGAATTTGTTTGCACGCATGATAAACGAGGTGGTATTCCGAGGAGCACATGGCATTCTCCTCTTGGAGAACCGATGTTTGGAATTATTGTATCTGCCTCTTGCTTTGCTCCTAAAGGACGACAAAGGCTTCAGGTTCTGTGCAATAGGAGCTTTAACGTCGACTTGCTTCGTTGATCTAGACACGCCACTCGCCCTTCTCCATGGCTTTTTTCGGATTTGATGTTCTGAAGATGCGTCGCGAGGCATCCGAATAGGCTGGAAGAGCGTGCAATCTCTATGGTCTGTATAACCCATCGTAGCGATTCCGCTAGGTTTCACTGGTTCTCAAGTTGTTGTATTTGACAGTACTTCCCCGATACAGAGCAAAAAGAAACCAGTAACCGATGCTAAGGCTGATAAGAGTTCAACCGGAGGTAAAGCAGGCCTGAACAACTGAAGATGTCGATTTGTAACGTGAAAATGAACGACTATGCCTTCCGTAAAGAGATGATACTGAAGACCAAGCGAAGGTCGAAGCTACACCGGCTAAGGCAGACTCCGAGACAGAGAAACTGAACAGGCTTCGCTACTGACAGCGATAACAACCCAAAAGCAACAGAGCTGACGCGGAAGAAGATGTCGATGCAGTTGAAGAAGAGGATTAAAGATGAACTACTAAGACAGGAAGACAAAGGAAGTTCTCGCCACCAACAACCTCAACCTCGATACGCGATCTGAGATTATAAGGCAAACTGACACGAACGGAAGAAACAACGAATACGACTCTTGAAATGACCTCCCGAAATAAAGAACGAACCGCCAACAAGACCAATCAATCTATCGCTTTCAGTCTTTCTTCCAAAGCTCGGAAACACTTGCTGAAAATCGATCGATCAAAATGACTCTGCAACCCTAAATCTCCGACTATCAAGAAAGGCTCTTCTCTTTCTCTCTTGCTCCCTCGTTTCCTTCTTGCCCTCCGACGGGCAGATGAGTAAACTAGAATGTTCTAGAGGCAACGGGCTCTCTCTTTCTCTCTCTCGAGTGTGAGGCACTGCGGAGCAGATGGGCGATGAGGAGGCGCTTGGGCTCGTAGATAGACAATGACTGGCAGCAGGGGCACATGAGGACATAAGAGAGCGGCGGAGGGAGCGTGCGCGGCAAGGAACCGAAGCAAGGCCGGGACAAGCAGCGGGCATCGGGCAATCGCTGTAACGTCTCCGGGTAGGTTTCCTCGTTCGCGGGTCGACAGTGGCACTCACCGGTTCACCGTCGGCCCCGAGCCCAGAGAGCCGGCAGGCGAGCGTATTCGCCGGTTTCTCACCGGGAAACGAGCGCGTCGCGAGAAGATGTACCGGCGTTTTCCCCGCTCAAACGTCTCCTGCCGCTGTGCCTCTGGCAGGTTTTGAAATTTCCTGCTGCCCGGCCGGCGTGGGCAGGTGATCCGGCGGGCAGTGAGTCGCAGGGCTATAGTCCGTGAGCAAGTAAGGCAGCCCGGAGGTCCCGAGAGAACCACGGAAGTGACAGCACGGCTGACACCTGTCACTCCGGCAGTTGACGACGTTCGTCGTAGATTGCCTCCACCTGCTCTCCGTCCGTCAGAGCTCCCGTCGCGCCCGTCCCTTTCCTTTCTCACGCGGATCAGTTCTCCACGCCACCCCATTGGCTGGACCACGACGTCGTCCTCCTCATCCCGACTGCCGGTCATTCTCTGGGTGTTTCGCATCCTCCGGTCGACACAACTTCGTTCAGTCCAAAGCGTTGGATTGATCGTCCTTCCCGTCACGTCTACGAGTATACCAGAGGTCATCCGTCAGGTTTTCACCCCTTTAATATTTATTTCGTTTGGATGACTAGGTTGTTGCAACACTACGCATTTACTTCACATTTGAAATAAAACAACTCAAGATATAAGAGGCTAAGAGAAAAATAATGATGACAACACTATCCAACAGAAAATCATATAGAGACCAAACACATCCTCACCCAAGATGCAGTGACATTGAATTGGATTCTCATATCACTCTCTCAATGGTCAAGGACTGTAGATAATTTAAAAGAGAGTGACTATAAACATATTTTGATATGCTTTGAAATTTAAATATTCAGGTTCTCTTTCCTTTATTTCATGTAATGAAATTTAAAATCTGTAATATCACAAATATGTACATGTATATTTAATAAACATGAGCAAATGAGCTTAAGTGGATGGATATTTGATCATTTAATGTACACATGGTTGTTAATATTCGGTTACAATTAGTTGCGTATTTTCATCTGATAAATAATTCATAATAACTTCTGTTTGATTATTAATATGTTCCCTCTGGTTTATCATTTAAATATGTGAGAAGTTTTATCAATTCAACTCTACTTGTCTTCTTCATCTGATTTGGCAGAAATCGAAGTGCACATAATTTATAAATCTGAACTTACTAGATTCTCCTCTCAGTATATTTGTTAACATTTGATTTTAAGGACAGAATATCATAAATCAACATTAAAAAAAGAAGATTGTTACCAAATAAAATTCAAATAATTTTGGTTTAATATTTCATATTTTTAAAAAATTAGAAAAAATAATAATTTTTTGTATTAATTCTTCTTCAAAACAAGTTGGGATTAAAAAGTAATATTATTTTATGTTAAGAATTTGCGAAATGTATATAAGAATTTCACTTCACAAGTTCTAGTGAAAGATATATAATGTCATTGTTTACATTTATAACTTTGAACATCTTTTATATTCATCTTTATTTGCAAAATATCAATATAAAATTAATATATATTGATACTAAACTACAAAAATATTCCTTTATAATTTATACTTGTATTAATTTTAAAAATTTATTTATTTTCAAGTCTCAAAATTTGAAATTTATGAAATTTATGTCAAATTTTGTTTATCAATCTTGATTTTTATAACAATATCATCTGCAATTCTCACACATCACATGTAACAAAAAATAAAATTACAATTATAGGTTCAATCTCTCATTGATATAATAGATTTGAAATGCCGATTCAATGTAGATTAAGATAAATATTTGCGATGAAATCTTTCATCACATAATTGAATAGTTATCTTGATTAGTTAAAAAATTTGTATGTTAAAAAATCGTAATTATAATTTTTTATTTAAGTTTTTAATTTATTTACCTTCAAAGTGATAAGTTGGAAAAATATTTTCATCTACATTGTACTTACGTATGTGTGAAATATGAATTTGATGTTTGTTATTATTGATTAAAAGTTCTGCTCTTCTATGGTACATATATTACATAATATTCAAGTCAAGTACAACGTTTCGATGTGATAAATTTCAAGGATTCAGTTCATTAGACAAAATTCAAGTTTAAATTATATGAACTTATCAGCAATATGATGTATTTCCGATTTGCAATAACATCACATAGTCGTATTGCTCGATCCTTAGTTCCACGGGCCTGACGCACTAACGCAGAAACGAGGTCCGTAGACGGATGCACCTTCGAGCCAAACTGTCGTCATACATTACGCTAACTGGAAAAATGAACTAAAAATATAAAATTCTCAAATTTTGTAAGTTAAGACACTCTCCCCTCATCGAAATTACGAGATTGGAACACGATCGAAAAAGCTCATTGGAGGGCAAATAGTTGATTCCTTGCACTTATTGTGCCAAATATGGAACGAACAACGGAACTAATTCGAGCGATAGCGCCACAGGCACCAGGAAAGTCACTTGGCGTTCAATATAAGACCTCCCGTCCAAAAGGACCTTGCCACGTGACCCCGACTGTTCCAAATACAGTGAACTTACAGAATGTCGTCTCAAGATGCGAACACGTTTGCTAATTATCAGCAGACCGATGCTCGAACGTTTGCCCATTGAGGAGCCTTGTGTCCGGTGAACATACAGCGTCACCTAATTCCTCCGGTACAAATTATTGTCCGCTGGTCGCTGTCCTTTACCGGGTTCTCTCCCCAGCAGTGCGTGTCGAACTTCCGTTTAAAACTTAGTCATGTACTGTAAGGTAGCCATGCAACTTTCACTGGGGAATTAATTTTCTCGGCTGCCCCGTTGTAGCAATAAATGGGACAAATTGGGCTCTTTGGGTTCGAGAGTTTACCTTTGGGGCGTAAATTGGAGTGAATCAGGTTCAAGCAAGTGGTGTATGGGGGAATCCATATGTTAGGGACCTCCCTCGTGTCCTGTGACCCTTGCATGGTGCCAGTTTCAGCTCATGGAGGTGTGAGACGCTATTAAAAGAAGCGGTATGGGTCTTACTTATCAAGTTGACGTGAACAAATTGATGGGTGGACTAAATAAACGCCTCATCCTGTAACATATCTTTTTAGTCAACCAAGTATGCAGCTACCGATTTACTGTCGTATGATTGTACATGTTCCACTGCTTCATTCTTGCCAAATTAATATATATTTTTTTATGTTAATAGTGTGCATCTTTCTGAAGGTCACCTCAAGGAGGCAACAAGAATGTGTTTATGACCTCGTGCGGAACAAGTTGAGATTGTGTATCCGTATGTCTTTATATACTACAAGAAACATTCACTAGAAAGAAAGGCTACAAGGTAAGAAAGTGGGTCGTTGCGTGGATTGATCCCTCTTTGTTTTGTCGGAAGACTAATATGAACCAATCTGCCACATTTGGGACTGAATAATTTGAAACTCATGGAAACAAATTGGAATTATTCATCATTTATCAGACTTTTCCACGTAGACACTGCATTTTTTTAGATTTAGATTACTTATCTGCACAAATCAAATTAGTTGGCGATTTTTTATCCACCTCAAATGTGTACCACCATACTTTCTGTTTGCAAAACTGATATTATTTAATTTTTCAAATCTTGAAGAAATCCAATGTATTGGAGAATGTATCATGCCGCTAATTACGTTTATTGTACATCTGTGTCAATGCGTCAATAAACATCTTAGCCAACGAACTAACAAGTTCCGACTTCATAGAATATAATAAAAAATACGAGAGAATGAAGAATCTCGTCATCTTGGCTTCGTTGAATTGACATTTTTCATGTGAAACATGCGCTCTGATATCACATAGTGCTTACTATATTTCATAAAACTGAGCATCTCCGTAGCGGTGCAATTAAAAAAATCGTTTGTACTGGTTAGTCATTATTAGCAATTGAGGTCTTGCACTTCCGTACACGTTTAATTTGAATCATTATCAAGCATATCAAAAATTACATAATGCAATAAAAAAATATTTTTAATTTCATATGAAAATTTATTACATGTATAGAAGTTGCAAGCAAGTCGTTCAAATCATCACATTGATAAGAAGTTAATCCAGGCTTTTGATACAATGTTGTTATGTAACTTTAAATTATTCTTTTTTGATGATATTGCTTTTAGTTTCAAATATTATAACATATTATAACTTTTATCACAGATTTGTCTCAAAAGGTCAACAGTTTCAATTTTGGGAAAAGGTTTATTGGATTTAATGATATTAGATCATTTTGATGGAGCTAAAATAAATATAATTTAAATAAAAGTATTCAAATTAAATTATATATTAATCAAGTTCAATTATTTTATATTATAGATGTAAATTTTTTCCTAATAATCATTACATTTATTTTTTTCAAAAAATCAGAATTTTTTTTCTCTAATAGAATTAACTTATCTTCTTATCTACTATTTTTATATTTATGTGAATATTTTTATTTTTATTTTTATTTTATATAATTCTTAAAAACATGACTAGCAAAAATAAATAATTCCATAATTTAGAAAGCTCTTTCATTGAGATGCTGTTTCAAATAAGCATGAATTTTTGATCATTTGTTAATATATAAATCATTTTATGTTGTCTTGTAAGATGATTTTGAGTAGAATAGGAGTCTTGAAACAACACAAACAATTATACTCTATCTGTACAATAAACAATACGGATGGATGCCATCGGCTAGGCCCCGATACTATGGTATTTCGATTTCAACTTTGAAGGTGGAAACACGTCCAGTATCGAGATACATTGCTTGATCCTTGCACTTGATGCATGCTTACTTGACAATGAAGTGTTATGGGAATGGCGTATATGAGTAAGTATGCAAATGAAA